TTCACCAAAAAACGGGCCAGTGTTTGACATCGTTATTTTACTGTGATCTTGAAAAAGTAAATTTAAAAATTTGGTATAACGTTAGTCTCTGGTATCTTAAAATAAAACTAACATAATTTCACCGAGAATGGACAAAACTTTTTTTTTAAATAAAGTTTCACAGTTTTTTCATCAGCTATATCCATATGGGTATATTTACATCGATGCATTATTTTTTGATTGGTCACAACAATCAGTTATTTTTAGATTAGTCGCGGTTGATTGATTATATCAAAGAATACACATCACCACAACCGGGCCGAGAAAAAGATGTGTCTTATGAAATATTTAAAACATTTGATGGAAAAACTTTCAAAACATACGTAGTTATTTACGGAAATATTGTTTTTAATAATCTAGTGTTGTTCTATCTTTAATTCAATGGGTCACATAGCGGATTCATTTGTCGTTTTTATACGACCGCAAAAATTGAAAATTTTTTGGTCGTATATTGGTATGACGTTGGCGTCGTCGTCGTCCGGCGTCGTCCGAAGACACATTGGTTTTCGCACTCTAACTTTAGTTTAAGTGAATGGATCTCCATGAAATTTTACCATAAGGTTCAATACCACGAAAGGAAGGTGGGGATTGATTTTGGGGGTTATGGTACCAACAGTTAAGGAATTAGGGGCCAAATATAAGCATTTTTGTAACTTCCAGACAATAACTTGTGTGTAAGTGTATGGATCTCTCTGACATTGTACCACAAGGTTCCATATCACAAAGGGAAGGCTGTAATTGATTTTGGGGGTAATTGCCTCAAAATTTTAGGAATTAGGGGCAAAAAACAAGCATTTTTCTAGTTTCATGACAATAACTTGTGTGTAAGTGTTTGGATATTTCTGAAATTGTACTACAAGGTTCCATATCACAAAGGAAAAGCTGGAATTGAGTTTGGGGGTAATTGCCCGAAACGTTTAGGAATTGGGGGCCAAAAAGGGGCCAAAAATAAGCATTTTTCTAGTTTCCAGACAATAACTTGTGTTCAAGTGTATGGATCTCTCTGAAATTGTACTGCAAGGTACCATACCACAAAGGGAAGGCTGGGATTGAGTTTGGGGGTGATGAATCATAAGGGGGTTCAAAAAATTTGGGGGGGGGGATTTTTTTTTTTCTTTTTTTTTCTTTTTTTCCTTTTTTTTTTCTTTTAAAATTTTCCATTTTAAGTTGGTTATTTCTGATTAATATTTAAAAGCAAATGATAATGATATGGTAGGAGATACACACCAAACAGGATGTGTAAATTATTATATAATAAGTATTGTGCAATAGCAAGAAATTTTCAATTGCACAGTATTGCACAATTGCAAGAAATCTTCAATTGCACAGTATTGCGCAATAGCAAGAAATCTTCAATTGCACAGTATTGCGCAATAGCAAGAAATATCCAATAGCACAATATTGCGCAATAGCAAGAAATTGTCAATTGTACAGTATTGCACAATAGCAAGAAATATTCAATTGCACAGTATTGTGCAAAAGAAGATACTTCGTATAAATTGCTTATTTCTTGATCAATTTCAATGGGGTTTTATTCTTGAATTCTTGGGGTTCTTTAATATGCTGAATCTAACCGTGTATTAAGTTTTTGGATTTTGGGCCCCGTTTTTAAATTGGTCCACATTGAGGTCCAAAGGGTCCAAAATTTAACTTTGTTTGATTTCATCAAAAATTGAATTATTGGGCTTCTTTGATATGCCGAATCTAACCGTGTATTTAGATTCTTAATTTTTGGTTCCGTTTTCAAATTGGTCTACATTAAGGTCAAAAGGGTCCAAAATTAAACTTAGTTTGATTTTAACAAAAATTGAATTTTTAGGGTACTTTGATATGCTGAATCTAAACATGTATTTAGATTTTTGATTATGGGCCCAGTTTTCAAGTTGGTCCAAATCGGGGTCCAAAATTAAAACTTTTTTTGATTTCAACAAAAATTGAATATATGGGGTTCTTTGATATGCTGAATCTAACCATGTATTTTGATTTTTGGGCCCCGTTATCAACTTTGTCCACATTGAGGTCAAAAGGGTCCAAAATTAAACTTTGTTTGATTTCATCAAAAATTGAATTCTTGGGCTTCTTTGATATGCTGAATCTAACCATGTATTTAGATTTTTTATTTGTGGACCCGCTATCAAATTGGTTCATATTGAGGTCAAAAGGGTCCAAAATTAAACTTTGTTTGATTTCATCAAAAATTGAATTATTGGGGTTCTTTGATATGCCAAATCTAACCGTGTATTTAGATTTTTAATTTTGGGTCCCGTTTTTAAATTGGTCTACATTAAGGTCCAAAGGGTCCAAAATTAAACTTAGTTTGATTTTAACAAAAATTGAATTCTTGGGGTTCTTTGATATGCTGAATCTAAACATGTGTTTAGATTTTTGATTATGGGCCCAGTTTTCAAGTTGGTCCAAATCGGGGTCCAAAATTAAACTTTGTTTGATTTCAACAAAAATTGAATATATGGGGTTCTTTGATATGCTGAATCTAAACATGTATTTAGATTTTAGATTTTTGGCCCAGTTTTCAAGTTGGTCCAAATTGGGGTCCAAAATTAAACTTTGTTTGATTTCAACAAAAATTGAATATATGGGGTTCTTTGGTATGCTGAATCTTACCATGTATTTAGATTTTTTATTTGTGGGCCCGCTATCAAATTGGTTCATATTGAGGTCAAAAGGGTCCAAAATTAAACTTTGTTTGATTTCATCAAAAATTTAATTATTGGGGTTCTTTGATATGCCAAATCTAACCATGTATTTAGATTTTTAATTTTGGGTCCCGTTTTTTAAATTGGTCTACATTAAGGTCCAAAGGGTCCAAAATTAATCTTAGTTTGATTTTAACAAAAATTGAATTTTTGGGGTTCTTTGATATGCTGAATCTAAACATGTGTTTAGATTTTTGATTATGGGACCAGTTTTCAAGTTGGTCCAAGTTGGGGTCCAAAATTTAACTTTGTTTGATTTCAACAAAAATTGAATATATGGGGTTCTTTGATATGCTGAATCTAAACATGTATTTAGATTTTAGATTTTTGGCCCAGTTTTCAAGTTGGTCCAAATTGGGGTCCAAAATTAAACTTTGTTTGATTTAAAAAAAAAATTGAATATATGGGGTTCTTTGATATGCTGAATCTTACCATGTATTTAGATTTTTTATTTTGTGGGCCTGCTATCAAATTGGTTCATATTGAGGTCAAAAGGGTCCAAAATTAAACTTTGTTTGATTTCATCAAAAATTGAATTATTGGGGTTCTTTGATATGCCAAATCTAACCGTGTTTTTAGATTTTTAATTTTGGGTCCCGTTTTTTAAATTGGTCTACATTAAGGTCCAAAGGGTCCAAAATTAAACTTAGTTTGATTTTAACAAAAATTGAATTCTAGGGGTACTTTGATATGCTGAATCTAAACATGTGTTTAGATTTTTGATTATGGGACCAGTTTTCAAGTTTGTCCAAGTTGGGGTCCAAAATTAAACTTTGTTTGATTTCAACAAAAATTGAATATATGGGGTTCTTTGATATGCTGAATCTAACTATGTATTTTGATTTTGGACATTGGACCATAATAGGTAAATTAAAAAAATTGAAGTTCTTAGACCACATTCTTTCTGTGTCAGAAACCTATGCTGTGTCAAATATTTAATCACAATCCAAATTCAGAGCTGTATCAAGCTTGAATGTTGTGTCCATACTTGCCCCAACTGTTCAGGGTTCGACCTCTGCGGTCGTATCAAGCTGCGCCCAGCGAAGCATTTTATTTACACAAGTGGGGCTAAATTTTGTGCACTTCGGCAAGATAGGATTTTTACAATTAAGAAGCGCTATAAATAAATCGGACAGGAGAGTATTTTAAAAAAAATAGTTAATTGCCATGAAATAAAAAGTCAGCTTAGCTTCCAACCAGGTAATTGCCAAATATGTCATCCTTATGTCAGGTATTCTTCATTGACAACTTCTGTAATTGACGCAAATAAACTTTTTTTTTATTGTTTCCTGTAAAATCTTGGTGAAGCAATGATGACATTCAAAGTTTTATTTAACAACTTGCTGTTGCTGCTGCTGAAACCATTCTATCAGCAAATTGAGGACACTGTTAGTGAAAGAATGTAAAGACATGACATTTAGGCAGACAATGAACAAAGTTGCCAGTCTTGGAATTTTGTATCCTTGTCTGTCTAAGTATGCAGCAATTGTTCTTGTTTTGCCAGTTTCAACAGCTGATTGTGAAAGGTGTTTTTCATGTTTAAACAGAGTTAAAACACCTTTGAGAAACAGACTATGCCAAAAAGTGCTTAATTGCTTAATGCATATATCAATTGAAGGACCAAAGGAGGAAGATTTTGATTTTGAAAAATGTGTGGGGACTTTTTGAAAGTTGAAACAAGAGGAAGATATCAACAAAATAATGTGTACATGACATTAATTTGTAAATAACTAGCGCAGACTGGAATATTTTTATTATTGTTTATAAGGTCTTTTATTAATTCCTCTCATCTGTAATAAATACTTTAAAGTTCCATGACTGACCTATAATAAAACAATTAGTAAATTATGTAGTGTAACTAATTCTGAAAAAGAATCATCACGCGCCGCGTTGCAAATCCACAATGGACCCACCATGCATGAAAAATTTTCTAGGGAAGACACTGAGGCCTGTAAAAATCTTCTCTACAGGCAAACATAATCCAACTAAAATTGAGCTTCGGGCCTGTGAATTCAAAAGTTTATCGTGAAAACTGTTCTTCCTAGTAAGAAATAGCATCTGGCTACAGGTAGTATTCACTGTATTGAAAACATTTTTCAAATTTAAAGCATCTTACATGTACATGTATATAGTTGAAATTCATGATATCAAGGTAACCCAATTTTATCATATAAACTGGCCCATGGAGTATACTTATAAATGCTATCAAGTTATTTAATAATTTGGTGATTTATTTTCCTCTTTCAGATTTTATGCTGTTCAATGGCTTTCAACCCAGATGATACCTTTTCAAAGGTTTGTATTTATGATGCATTGCTATTGGTATTTAGCCTCCCACATGACCAAAAGAATCATTTGGACTTTTATCACTTTGACTCCATTTATCTAGTTATTTTTTTGCAGGGGCCTCAGTGGCTCATTGGTCTAAGTAGTTCATATACATTAAAGGGGCATTAGCTGTCAAATTCACGTTTTTCCATTTGACCCAAATACTTTTATTTGATTTATAACATACTCAAATGTACTACATGTATATCCAAATTACAATAAGTCTAAAATAAACAATTAACAATGCATTAACTCAATAATATATATTATCAGTTCATGTGTATTATTTTAGTCTAGACGCCATCTAATTAACCATTGAGATGACCTCCGAAGACTGCCAACGGTCATATAACCCGATATAAACATAAATATAAATAGATAGCGACCACATGCAATTGGATTTTCTGAGTCTGTTTGATTTCATGTTATAGGTTGAAAAGATAAGTTAATCATCGTTTTTACCTGTATAAGAATGATTTTTTGTGTATCAAATCAGTCAACAAAATGGTTTACCCTTGTTTCACTTTCAATGTTGACATTCTTTTCCATTTAATAGCTGAACAGGCCTAGTTCATGCGTAACCTATCTCCAGCCAAGGGTAACTTACATTGAAGTTCACATGAATATGGATTCAACTGACAATGACTGAGGTTGAATTATTCACTTGCAAATCAATAATGCATCAGCAATGGTTTTGAGCTTATTTTGACAAATTTTGGCCTAACTAACTGCTTATATTTTAAAATTGGCTTTTATTTATAATACTTGAACCAAAAAGATCCGTATTTTAAATTTTTGACCAAATTCTAGCTATTGCCCTTTTAATAACTAGCTTGTCCACACTGAGGTTGTGAGTTCCAACCACTCTTGTGCCAGGTGCATTTGACTTTTGTTTTAATTAACTACGATTGCCAGTGGTTCTTCTAGTTACTCCATGAAAGAAAACTGGCCCTCCTGATATAGCAAAGAGTGCTGAAAGTAGGATTTAACACCAATAATCAATCAATCTAGTTAATTTTGTATAAAAATGTATAAGCTTTCTGCTAAAAGTGATCAGTTTCTCTAATCATCAGGTATGTATTATACTATATGTATATACATTATGATTATCTCATATACATTGCAACTATATAAACCGAACATAAATCATGTAAATGTTGGGTAAATACACCAATTATGATTTTTTGAATAAAAAAATATTCTATACAACTATACAACTAATTCCAATACATAAGATATATATCAAGTGACATATATGGGGGAAGATAGACATTGGGAGAAAAAAATAGACCATTGTATTATCACCTGTTTATAAAACAATTAGAAAAACAAATATTTGTGTATTAACCCAGCATTTATGTTCCATGCATAGTTATATGGTAACCCTATAGCTACAATGTTTCATTTACAAAATGTAGTTAAGATAGATTCTTTGATTTGTGTAAAAAGTACAATATATTAAGGGGGGCAGTAAAAACTAATAAATCTAAGAATAACAGATGATATCAAAGCCAAACAAAAAAATCATAATAAGGGATTAAAATGCATCTCTCTAAATCTAAGAAATCAGATATTACCATGGCAAGAAAGAAAAACGACAAATAGAAAACAGTCCGAAAAACAGTACACCCAACACTAAAGATTGACTGAAAAACAATTGAGCAACATGAGCCCTACCAAATATAGCCTATTGAAAATGTAGTATAACTAAGACATAATCTTTTTCAATTCTTGATTTTATAACAGGGCTTCCAAAATTATTTTTAGCCAGCGGGACATTTTATATATTATCCCGATTTTAATCCCTTAAGACTAAATAAACAAAAGGCAATTATGGTAATCAGTTGCCGAGTTGGCCATCCCAATGATTTGGCATAAAAAAAACGATATTAAACTTTCTTTGATTCAAATTCGAAGTTCTGACGTAAACTGTTAAATTGGCAGTGCATCATTCGAAGTGTGCAACAATAAATTACATCAGCGTACTTATATTTGCCTTAGACTCTTTATTTGTGCAAAATAACGTTGTCAAAAACTTTACTTTCGTTTTTAAATCTTATACCGGATGTTATCTTGACAATGGTAAAATATGGACCAGAGACGGATACGTAAATTCCGTGTACGTTTGCAAAGCATGAATGAGTGGAAGTAGCTCCTTCTACGTTATTTCTTTAAGAAAATAATCGAAATAAACGTGAGATAAAGGTATCAATGACAATTTAAGCATTTTTTGAAGAATTAGGATGCATAATTAAATTTCAGACCTGCGCACATGCGCACACGTACTAGTTCAAACAGAGACATGTAAAGTACAAACAACGTGTTTATGACGATGTTTCATTTTCACCTTTTTAATTTTTTCATCAAATCATATTTGTAAACGTATTTCTGATAATTTAAATCTTTTTGACTAAATTAATTAGATGCAAACCGCTGAAATGTAAGAAAATAACTTTGAATAGACCGATCAATGTCCTGTTCAAAATAGTTTACCTGTCACCTGAACAGGTAAATTTCAGCTGTTCGACAACTAATTAGCCTTGATTAAAATGAGAAGGTATTAAAGTAGGGGTTGTTTTGATAGTACTTAATGATCATGTCACTTTTATGACCGGAAATGTGTGGCTGTTAAAGGCAAAACGTTCGGTCAAAAAGATCGCAATTATGTTAAAATGACCGTCTCTTTAAGCCTTGAAAACTAAAGTAGATGACCGTTTCATGCTTTGCCCAGCCGGACTTTTCCCGGACATTATACAAATGTCCGGCATATATGACCGTTTTGAAAGCCTTGTTTTATAATCATATAACATGTATAATATGTGACCATATTGATTTTTATTTTTTTTATATATTGCAGTTTTTAGAGTTTTGTAAACCTTACTTAGAACTACAGAAATCTACAGAACTTATTAAATTACTTCAGAAAAGGTTTAGTGACTGTAAAGAGGAGTACAAGAAGTCTTTAGACTTTGCAGATTTGACAGAAATTACCTGTGCAAAAATAGAAAGTGATAGTAAAAATATATTTATTCATCTTAGAGATTATCTGGCTGATTTAAAGTCTAACAACGACAAAAAAAGGAAAAGGGAGGCAAATCTTCATGATGAATATGATGCACCAAGTCCAAAATCATCAAAAGGGGAGACAAGCGATGTTGATAGTGATGGGAGTTGGAATAAATTTATTAGGAAGACTGCAACTGCTTGCGAAAAAGATAGAACAGAATATTCAGAAGTAAATAAAACAAAAGAAGTAATTTCCAATGTTGAGGAACAAATGTGTATAACAATAGATGATAGTGACGAGGACACAGAAAGTGGTGCTATGAATTTAACAGTCACGAAATTACAAAATAGTACATCTAAACAACCTGACAAATCCCATGTTAAAGATATAGATAAGAAAGTACAAAATCATACCAAAAACATATCTCACACAAATAAGCTCAAACTGGTGCAAAGCACTACAAAGACTCAGACTGTCTCATCAACTACAAATATATGCAACTCAGGTCTCATACAAAAGTTTCACAAAGCTATTGACAGTACTTACTACCCTGCTAAAAGTAAAAAACAGTATAAGCTTGTTTCAAATACACAGTTGACAGAATCAGACAAATGTGTAAACAAACATCCAAGCACGAAACCCCTAAATGACATTGAAACTATCGTATTAGATGATGATGATGATGAAGATGAGGATAAAAATGAAGATAGAAATGAAATACAAAACATGATTAGGATTGATAAAAATCTGACTTCAGTAAATCAAGAGAAGAATATAAATAACAAAGAATCTAGTCATTCAAACACAAATGTAAAGGAAATGTGTGAAACTATAGACATTGTAAATAGTACACAAGATACTGTTAATACAGAACCAAGTACAATACAAATCATCGAAAAGGAGACAAAGGGCAAACAATTAACAGACAAAGAAACAAATGATAATGTGGATGAAGTTAAAGGTAAGATAAATATTGTTTAACCTTATCCACAGTCAATCAAACTGTTTTCAGGTTCAACACAACTTAAGACAGATAATTCTACATGTATTTCACCCAGCTCAGTAATTCTTGTATCACAGCTTTCAGAAGTGTGCAGGCATTATCAACGACATCACAATGTCTGAGGAGAATTTATCAGTGAGGTCACAATGTGTGAAGAGATGTTATCAGACTTGGTTTGGTTAAGTGTATAACTGTCTAACATTGTCTAAGGGAAGGGGAAAGACCATGTACATGTAGATACCGTAAAATATCAACTGCTCAACACAATGTAAGACTTCTTTGTTTGCTTCACTCACTTGCCTAAAAGGTTTACATTGTTGCTGATATTTTGCTATGTCAATATGTAGAAAAGCAGATAATCTATACTTAAAAGGTGATACACGACAGTTTAACCCACATGTGGTTTAAATGATTTTAACCCCTTGGAAAAGCATTGTATACAAGCACAATGGGAGAAAATGTGTAACATGCATGTGACAATAAGAAATTAAATGGAGCATTATACATTTGTACATGTGTTATATAATTATCTAGATATTAGTTTTTATCTCACCTTGATAAAGTTAAAATAAAGGAAAACTTTGCCGTCCTGTTTCCGGCAGTGTTAACAATGTATTAGTCTGTTATTAGGTCCGTTTTAGAGGAAACGCTAGTAGTAGGTCAGTGATGTTTGGTATGCAGATTTTTTAGCATTAGTACATCTCATATCTATGGAGATTATTTGCCCTGCCTCCTCAGTCAAAGTCTATTAACTCTGAAATTTTTACTTGGTTTATTTATTAAAGTTTATGTTTAGATCAGTTTATAATTTAACAGTCAGGGGAATTAAAGAAATAAGTGATTTTTAAATCCCTCATTTAAATAGCAAATTAGAAATTCTGTGATTTTGTAGTTTTACCATATAATGCCATATATAACTACATGTACATGTAGTTATAGAATTATCACATAAATTACTATTGTGTAAAGAAACCATGTAAATATCATGTGTGTATATACAATGATATAGTAATTCTAATTGTAAAATATGTACAGTGTACATGGGACATTTGCAAGTTTGTGATTTGGATGATCATGTATATTTCAGGTTCTGAACAGAAAACAGAAGCATGTACTCAACAGAAAATTCAAAGTAGTCCTAAGGTTGAAACTTCAGAGAAAGCAAAATCAGAATGTAGGAAAGCTGAACTTACTAGTGATAAAGAAGGAAGTCAAATATCAAAAGACTGTAAGGTGGTGGTACCAAATTATGTAGATAAGGCACAGAAAGAAACTAGTGTGAAAGTAATAGAATCAAATATTCAAAAAGCTTCTGAAACAGAGAAGTCTGACGTTCATGATGACAAGCCTATCAGTTCTTTGATTGAAAGAAATGAAAATTCAGAGAATGAAAACCAAGAAACAAAAAAGGAAGAAAGTCATACAGGTAATATCAGGGCTTCCAAAAAATATTTGAGCCAGCTGGACATTTATGTCTCATCCCGATTTTAATCCCTTAAGACCTAGTAACAAAAGGCAATTATGGTAATCAGTTGGCCATCATATGCATATAACCAATGATTGACATTAAAAAAAACAATATTAAACTTTACTTTGATATAAATTCAATGTTCTTACGTAAACTGTTAAATTGACAGTGCATTATTCGAAGTGTGCAACATCAGCGTACTAATATCTGCCTAAGACTCTTTATTTGTGCATAACAACGTCGTCAAAAACTTTACTTTCGTTTTAAAAAGCACATTTATCTAATACTGGATGTTGACTTGACAATGATAAAACATGGACCAGAGACGGATACGTAAAATCCGTTTACGCTTACAAAGCACAATTGAGTTTAAATAGCTCTTTCCACGTTATTTCTTCAAGAAAGTACTCAAAATGAACGTAAGGTTAAGGTACAATGTATCAATGATAATTTTAGCATTTTTGAAGAATTAGTATGCATAATTAAATTTCCAACCTGCGCACACGTGTACTAGTTCAAACAACGTGGTTCTGAAGATTTTTCGTTTAAAACCTTTTTAAATTTTTCATCAAATCATATTTATAAATCATTTCTGATATTAAAGTAGGGTTTGTTTTGATAGTAATTATTCATCATGTCACTTTTATGACCGGAAATGTGTGGCTGTTTTAAGGCAAAAGGTTGGGTCAAAAAGATCGCATAAACTTCCAATTTTTATTGGAATTATGTTAAAATGACCGTCTCTTAAGAAAGCCTTGAAAACTAAAAGTAGATGTCCTTTTCATCCTTTTCCCAGACATACAATGTCCGGTAAATTTATAAATGTCCGGAATATATGACCGTTTTGGAAGCCATGGGTAATTTACATGTACACAATGTAGATTAATCAGTTAAATATATATTGTTGTCATCTCAACTAACTGACAATTTTATTGTTATATCAAAAGTTATTTTTCTTTTTTTTTTAATGAATAAAATATTTAAATATTTGCATTTGTATGATAGACAGACATGTGTATATATATATGTATATGTTAATAAAACTTAACACCTTGGGAATATATATATGAATAGACATTATATAATTATTAGCTGTGACAAATGTGCGAGTTGCTCAATTTACATCTACGAATTTAACTGATAACAAATTTGGGACAAATTTATGCTATTATTGTCACATGTCTTTTTGAAATAACTGCTGCAATGGTCTCATGGTAGTATGTTCGCCTCCAGTGCAGGAGGTTGTGGTTTCAAACAATGCTGGGTCAAACCAAAGATTTAAATTTGGTATTTGCTGCTTCTCCATAAGCATGCGACATTAATTATATATATAAGGAGTAAGAGCAAGTCTGGTCGGCTCAGAGTCAAAATAATGTTCTGGTTAGGATAACAAGTCTTCCTGCGGACTGTTACCTTGTGAACTAGTACTAGCAGGTTAAAAATCGGACTCAGCATGTCGGCCTATTCAGGCAGAGTTAAATTCATAACATTAACATGTTCTCCTCCTGAATACATGGAATATGCATTTAATTTGCTGCTGGATATTAAGCATCCATCCATCATCATCATCATCATCATCATCTTTTTGAAATTTATGATGCTGTTTATACATGGTTTTGTATGTTAAGTTGCCCAGCCTGCATCATTTGCATTGGTAAGCATTAATTGTGAATATGAATCAATACAAATACTATGAAAATAATTTAACAATTACTCTCCTGAAGGCACCAGTGAAAAACCCAATGATCAGCATGTAGCAAGAGTAATTTGTAATGGTGAGCATGCAGCAAAAGAAATTACCAGTGATCAACATGCAGCAAAAGAAATTGGCAATGAAGAAAATGTTGAAGCAGAAAATGGATCTGTAGCAAATGTAGACAAACAAGATGAACAGAAAGCAGAAAAGGCTAAAACTGGCTCAAAAAAACAAATAGCTAGACTTGAAAAACTACTAGAGGTATTTTATTCTGTTTGTTCAGATTGATTCTATGTGAAAAAAATAGGCATTTCTTATCCATTTATCGCCACACACAAAAATCTATTGAATAACAACTATGATCACCTTAAGCAAAACTCAGCTCAATGAAAGAATGTTAACAAGCAAAAGAGTTGTCATAGACCAAGTAAAAAAATTGTGTATATGGTTTATTTATCTCACCAGGCCCGATAGGTCAAAAAGCTATAATTCACTTGGTGTCCGACATTTGTCTTCCATCGTTTTCTGTCTTTCATTATCTTTTACCAAAACTTTCTCCTCTGAAAATATTGGGCCAAATTAAATAAAACCAAACTCTGCAAAAATCAGGCTTGTGGTATCAAGTTTGAAGATATGTCTGGTGATCCAGCCTTCCAATCAACATGGCTGCCAATGCTAAAAATAGAACATAAGGGTAAAATGCAAGTTTAGTCTATTATTTTGTAAATCTTTATAGACAGAGAAAATTTGACTGGGTTAGGAATTTTCAAAGAACGAGATTGACTACGGTCCATTTACACCATAACTGTCAGACGACTTCTTCCAGATGTAATTGCCCTTATATGAGAATTTTTGATATTTTTTATCCTTTTTGTCTATTATCTTGATAACTTTATAGATATAGAAAAGCTTCAAATATTTGTACCTTTTTTTGCATTATCTTGAAAACTATGATAAATAGAGAGAAAAGTTTGAAATGTTTGCAAAAAAGCTTTTAGGGAAAGTGAGAAAGTGTATTTTATGATGGACTATTTCTGTGTACTCATAACTTGAATTATTACTGACTAATGGCATTTTCAAAATCAATCTTAATTTATTTTCATAGGATTTAAGAAATAAGATAGAAGGTCTTAAAGAAAGGGAGGTTACTCTTGATGAAATGGATGATGAGTGTTCTTCATACATTTTGGAAGACAAGTACCAACAAAAGTTTGTCAAAGTATGGAAAAAATTATGTGAGCTGAAGAATAAATCGGCAGCCACTGGCCGTCCTATTGAAAGAAGGTTCAAGTATTCAGGTAAAGGAATATTAATTAAAAAGTCAGGTCACATAGAATAAAAAGTTTTAACATACTGACCTTATCTTCAACTTTTTCTGTGGCCTGATAGCATCCAGCTGGGGCAACGCATAATGATCACTTTTGATGTCTTGTATTATTGTTTGTGTCACACATTGTTAATCCACAACAACTTGAAAACAGCTTGACAAAAATCAAACAAAATTGTACAGATTCTTCTGCAGGACATGAAATAGACCACTTTCAAGTTATGTCATTATGCAGGATAAACTAGAAATAATGTATGTTCGGTAGGTACTTAATCGCAATTCCCTTATGACAGCAGTGCTGTTTATCAATTATAAGAATTTAATTTGCAGAATAACTTGTGCAATATAGCATCATATTTTTTCAGCCGCTCACTCAATATCGGAAGGAAGCTAAGTGACGATGTCCCTAAACTCATGAATGATGTTCACTAAAACCAAAGTTTTTGATGGAAATGCAATAAACTCGAAAGTAGTCTGTTGTGTGCCTGATATTTTAATATTCTATCTGTATGATTTTCTGGGTTTCTCATCTTAAGAATTTTTTTTTAGTTTTTTATCTTACAATGTACATGCACATTAATTTCTGGAACACTTAGGTAGAATGAAATAGTGAACACCCTTGCTGTGTAACTATTTTAATGGGGTGAGGGTTGTGCCCCATATTATTTTCCAACATGGATGAGTTAGATAGTCAATATTTTATCATACCTGTCAACCTCTGAAACTAAAAATGCAGGTCATGACCTGCATTGAAGAAAAAAATTTCAGGTCATAACCCGTACAACCTTTTTCAGTCCAATTTTAGCGTTGAGAGTTTTTTTTTATTATATACATGTACTATAACATATACATGTACCACTGAGTTTCCTAAAAGTAATCACTTTTGTATTTGTTAATTATATAAATATTTATCATTAATTAAATATCTTTTTAAAGCAATGCCCTTTTATTGTTTTATTCACACTAGTTTGATTCTTTTTATTAATGAATGTCATAACCCCAGCTATACATGTAATTAGAAATCAATTATAGCTAATGTGCTCCTATACACAGGAGGAAGATAAGTAGAAAGAAGTTAGTGTATTCCCTTTCAATGTAATATCTAGAGCATATGGATTTGATTTAAAGCTTTTACATTTCAGTGATAACAAAATTATTCTCTCCAACAGAAATGTATTAAAAGGTTCAAATTGTTTTAAAATGATTTTTACGGGATTGAGGATATTTGCAAACGACAAATCTTTTAATCAGGACATAGAATTGTATGCAAGCTTGACTGGCTTCAACTTTCTGGGGTACAATTGACAAACAATCCTCGAATTGTTACTTTTCAATCAAATGTAATGTTTTGATAGCTGTCATTGGCATGGTAAATAAGCAAATTCTAATTTCAATTGTTTACCTTTTCAAAGGAAAAACGTCGAGAAAACGGAAAGTATATTTAACTGCTAAATACCGGAAACAATACCAGTCAGAAATACGGGTGAAAACAGGTTATTTTCTGAAATCCCGGGTAATTTGAATAACCAGCGGGTATTTAAAAAATCCTGTGTGAAGCAAGGCTTCCAAAACGGTCATATATGCCGGACATTTGTATAATGTCCGGTAAAAGTCCGGCTGGGCAAAGCATGAAACGGTCATCTACTTTTTAGTTTTCAAGGCTTTCTTAAGAGACGGTCATTTTAACATAATTCGCGATCTTTTTGACCCCACCTTTTGCCTTTAACAGCCACACATTTCCGGTCATAAAAGTGACATTATCATTAAGTACTATCAAAACAACCCCTACCTTTTCATTTTAATCAAGGCTAATTAGTTGTCGAACAGCTGAAATTTACCTGTTCAGGTGACAGGTAAACTATTTTGAACCGGACATTGATCGGTCTATTTAAAGTTAATTTCTTACATTTCAGCGGTTTGCATCTAATTAATTTAGTCAAAAAGATTTAAATTCTCAGAAATACGTTTACAATTATGATTTGATGAAAAAATTAAAAAGGTGAAAATGGAAAATCGTCATAACCACGTTGTTTGAACCAGAGACACGTCTCTGTTTGAACTAGTTAGTACATGTGTGCGCATGTGCGCAGGTGTGAAATTTAATTATGCATCCTAATTTCTTTAAAAAATGCTTAAATTGTCTTTGATACCTTTATCTCGCATTCATTTCGAATATTTTCTTGAAGAAATAACGTAGAAAGAGCTACTTACACTCATTCATGCTTTGCAAACGTACACAGAATTTACGTATCCGTCTCTGGTCCATGTTTTACCATTGTCAAGATAACATCTGGTATAACATTAGAAACGAAAGTAAAGTTTTTGACAACGTTATTTTGCACAAATAAAGAGTCTACAGCAGATATAAGTACGCTGATGTTGCACACTTCGAATGATGCACTGCCAATTTAACAGTTTACGTCAGAACTTCAAATTTGAATCAAAGAAAGTTTAATATCGTTTTTTTTTAATGTCAATCATTAGGATGGCTAACTCGGCAACTGTTTACCATAATTGCCTTTTGTTTATTTTGTCTTAAGGGATTAAAATCGGGATAATATATAAAATGTCCGGCTGGCTAAAAATAATTTTGGAAGCTTTGGTGTGAAGGTGAAAATTCTCGTGTGTGACAGCTATGTTTTATGTAACCCTGTCATTTGACTGAACTTACTGTCATTTCATGGCTGTATGTGCTCTGGAAAGTAAATATTTATAACAAAACTTCACTGTTATATTTAAGTACAAAGATTCAACATTTATTTATCAAATTGGACAAATATTGAATTACATTTGAATTTTGGCTGATTTGACCCCAAATCATAACTTGTCCTTTTATTTGTAATTATAAAAGTTTGCAGTATTGTAGTAACTTGCATTATTTACATAGGAACACGTTACCCAGAGATAAACCGAAAGCTGGAGAAATTTGTAAATAAAAGAAAGGAATTTCCAGATTATCATGATGTTAAAGCTGTCATTACCAAAGTTAACCAAGACAAAAAGATTGGTTTAGGGTATGTATAAATATTTAATGTTACGCCAACTAAAATTAATTAGTAAATTTTCATTCAAATTTTTGAAAAAAATGGGGCGGGTGGGAGGATTTTGTAATGTGTTCTTTATATGCAAGGGTAATAATAAGCTTTAATATGGCATGTATATATGTAGGACTCTGAACTGCAATGGTCACGCTGAAGTGGGATGGTTGGAAGCTGTAGTGCGTTTTTTATCACACTGGAATGCGATGGTGGCATTGTGACGCTATCTTGTTTATCAGTAACATTGAAGTGCAACGGATTACATAAATAAATGTTCAATGTTTTTCATGTTCTCGTGTAGAAGTAGATGTAGAAGTCGATTTGTTTAATTTGTTAGAAGCAGCTTTTCAGGTTTTAAAGTAAACCACCGAGAGTAAAAACCTGTCATGATAAAAAGTCATTAAATGAAACGTTGTTGTTTTTCTTTAATGGTGGAAAAAATAATCCAAGGTTAATACAAACGTTTAGAAATTGACCACTATTAACGCTTCATGCAAAGGTTATTGTCCGTAAAATCCACTATTAATTTCAGTTACTAAAATACAAGTAAGATATTAGAAATCAAATACTACTTGCTTTGTCAGAATGACACAAAACTAGCAACAAATATATTCGGCTGCTGTGAATGACAGCAAGGAATAAGATAGATCATTGTATTTTTTTTTACAGCAACTGGAGTTGCTTTGTTGGGACACGAGATTTATCCTTTTATTGTAGCTCTATCAATAGTCCCATCTCAAACACTACCTTCAGGGTTGGCAAAGTATTACCCGGGCGAGAAAACCCAGGTCCCGGTTTTCCCGGGCTGGGCAATACTCCCAGAAATGGGTAATACTGGGCAATATGATTTTTTAAGCTTATTTTTACACAAAATAGTAAAGACTTGTTGTAGTTTCATAGTATTATAGCTAAATATATACATTTTACAAACATGTTTTATACAGATAACCATTGAGAGTCATTTCTAGAAGATTAAAAATTCAATTTCTTCCTTTTCTCCACTAATTCTATATATGTAGGCATAATACAAAATTTGCACATTTTAGGATACGTAGTTAATTTTCAAGCTTTCTTTCAATAATCCAAACTTTGAAAAATGCATTTTATTGCAGTGTTTAAGCTAGTGAATAGTAATTTACCGGTAATTGTTATATGATCATATTGCTAAATAAACACCCAAAAGAGACATGTTATGAACACTTTTAGAAATGAAAGGGCTGATTATTGTTATATAAACATATCTGTGTTCTAATCTGATATAATTACTTATTAATTAGTGATGTACATATAAATATGCTGAAACTTAGTAAACATTTTAAGCAATGAACAGAAATTTATTGTTTAAAAGTAATTTTCCTTACATATAATTGTTAATTATTAATATTAGTTATATATATTTGAAAAAAATACAAATTGAATTCTTAGGCTTATGTTAACAGTTTGACCAATCTATACAGAATGGTGAGATGATAGATTTTTAGGTGGATTATTGAGAAAAGCTTTTCACATGTGTCTAATGTGTCTTCATGTACACTTGTCTCAGAGTTGCTAGAACAATACTTTCTCAGATTTATACACTTGTATTATTAGAGTCTCAAACAAGTGAACTTATTTATATATATCAAAATATTATGTCTTATTTTTATAAATATCTTTAATGTATTGCATTTGTGATTGATTACTGAATCCTCTATGAAATTCAGGCCAGTATTTCATATTACCCAGTATTGCCCAGTATTACCCGATAAAACCCAGTAAAACCCGGGTTTTCCCAGTATTTCCCACTGGGCTGGGCAATACTCATAAAACCCGGGTTTCTGCCAACCCTGACTACGTTAATGTTATAAGACAAAAAGGCAAGCCATCGCACTTCAGCATAACCATCCCACTTCAGCGTCCCCATCGCACCTCCTAGTCCTACATATATATATAAGAAATTCTACACAATTTTACAAATTCTTAAATAAATTCTACATGTAATTGCCGCTTTATAAACCTATTTTCAGTGTATAGCAAAAACGTGAATAAATGCTCTCTTTAAGACTACCTACATCAAATTTATTTTGCTTTCTAAGCTATGGTTTGTAGTGCCGATGAAATGAAGCGTGTGCAACAGAAGTATTATGAGTACAGAGTGAATTGAAAACTCAAACTGTGTTGAAAATACTAGTGTTGATGCTTTTAAGATTCTTATGCAAGGTGCAAATATAATTACAATGTAAAACATGAACTTAACCAAAAGGAAGAAGTTGTTTAATGACTCTATTGAGGGGCTGAGGACAGAGGGTGTTTGCTGTTGGTCAACAAAAAACGACAGCTTTGGGGTAAATCTAAGGGCGTGCTGTAATACATTTTGAACGTTGGCTAACTTTTTGTTCTCAATATACGGTTATAAACTCCAAAAGGTTTGTGCTTGTGTCAATTTCTTTATTTCATGTTTTTTGTACCAATGTGTTCCATGATTCTTGCGTTTGGATATCATTCACAGTCCAAATTTTCTGACACAAAGTCATTGTATAAATAGAAAAATCCACAGTTTTCTAATCATTAAAATTTGCAATTTGAGTTCTTAGACACCACTTATTGCTCGTAACCCGAATATTTCATGTCCTTCCCATAATCAATCTCTATTCTCTGAAGATACTATTGTAATCACAGAGAAGCAGAATATGTCTACTTAATCATTTCGGTTAAATTACTCGAAGAAATACGAAAACCGAAATATCCAACAGGAAGTATTGAATGAAAGGAAATTATCAGCGGATACCGGTAAGGCCAACTAAAATTGATTAGTAGATTTTCATCCAGATTTTTGAAAAAATGGGGCTGGTGGGAGGATTTTATTTTTTAATTTTTATTTCCCTCTAAACCTTTTTGTGACATGTTGTTCATGTTCAAGGGTAATAATAAGCTTGTATCATGTATATATAAGGAATTCTGCATTATTTTTTCAAATTCTTAAATTAATTTTTCTGATTGGCAACCACTGTTCTACATGTAATTGCCACTTTAAAAACTTATTTTTAATAAATAGCAAAAACATGGAGAAATGTTCTCTTTTAGACTACCTAGATCAAATTTGTTTTGCTTTCTAAGCTATGATTTTTAGTGCCCATAAAATAAAGCATATGCATTGGTATGCAGCCCAAATATGATCCCAAAGGGTGACTGGGGAATAGAAATATGGTCACTACAGGTCTTCTTATGGCCGGCAGTAAAACCTTTGCGAAAGTGGGGCGTCCGTTTGTCTATGCAGGATGTAACAAGTAGGCAGCCACGTCCGGTCATAATGGGGATGTTAAATCTGATGCCTCCTGTAGAGAGAGTGCCACGCTCTCTGCACGTTAAGAACCCTTGCAACAACTCTTTGAGGGGTTCGTAGGTCGCCTGTTGTAAGGGCTAAATTTCTGCCCCTATCCATTATACCCTCATTTTCCATTGGCAGTCCAAATTTACCCTGACCTTCATTCCGAACAGCCTCTATTACAGGACCTACCTATTGTATTTATTGTTAATTTGTTCTCGTCCTGAACATGCATGACGTATTTGCCACTGGACGTTAAGCAACCAACAATCAACAATCAATCGAATATTATGAGTACAGAGTGAAATGAAAACCCAAACTGTGTTGAAAATACTAGGGTTGATGCTTTTAAGATTATTTTGCAAGGTGCAAATATAATTACAATTCAAAACATGAACTGAACCAAAAAGAAAAAGTTTTTTGATGACTCTATTGAGGGGTTGGGGACAGAGGGTGTTTGCTGTTTGTCAACAAAAACAACAGCCTTGGGATAAATCTAAGGGATTGCTATAATACATTTTGTACGTTGGCCGACTTTTTGTACTCAATATACGGTCATAAATTGCACTAGTTCAAATAATTATGACGTCTTGAGGCCACACTTAAAAATATTTTGGTTTGCCCAAACCCTACTTGAAGGTAGAGACAGTGGGTAGGTAGACAGGCATTTTCTTTTTTTTTTGGCAAAGAGAAATTGAAGTGTCAATTGTTTATTATATCATGCCTATCTGATTAAAAAAAAAAACTTTTTCACATCAGGACAATAAAAGATTTTGAGTAGGCAGCTATTTTCTGGGTAGGTAGGGTTAGGGCAAACAAACATATTCTTTTTTATGGCCTGAAAGGCTATTTTTTTTTTCTGTGACGCCTTCATAGGCGTCACAGAAAAAAAAAAAAAATAGCCTTTCAAGACGTCTTAATTATTTGGACTAAAATCACACATGTTCGTGCTTGTGTCAATAACTTTATTCCAGTCATGTTTTTGTATCAATGTGTTCCATGATTCTTGCACTTTGGATATCATTTACAGTCCAAATTATCTAAAAGTCATTGTATAAATAAAAAAAAATCCACGGTTTTCTATTCACTGAAATTTGTGACATACCGCAATTAGCGTTCTTAAGGACATCGCTTATTACTCATAACACGAATATTTCATGCCCTTCTAGTAATCAATCTACATTCTCAGAAGATAATGTTGTCATCATCGAGCAGAAGAATATGTCGACTTATATTAATCGAAGAAATACGAAAACCAAAATTTGAAACAGGAAGTTTTGAATGAAGCGAAATTATCGGCGGTCCCGGTAACTGAAATGAACAAAGTCCGGATATCGTAAAAATTAAAAAAATCTGGGCGGGGATGAAAATCTATCAATTAATTTTAATTGGCCTAACGTAAATGAATAAAATCCGGAAATCTTAAATTTTTATAAATAAAGAAAAGTCGGGGCGGGTGGGTATGAAAATCTATCAATTAATTTTAATTGGCCTTATGGTGGGGACATACATGTTTGCTTGTGTTTACCATGAAGGTCTGAATACTGAAACACCCCTCCCCCCCCCTAAAAAAATAATTAAAAGACATAAAGATGCACAAAATACATAATGTCATTGTTATCTAATAGAGATCAGAAAAGCAATATCTAGTGTCCCTGGTGTTCAAATGAATTGATGCAACAGCAATTTTCAATTATGAGTAAAGGAATTCATAGACATAGACAGACATAGACAATTAAGTGTAATTACTGACTTTGGAGACTGGCCGTATGTTATTTCAATGAAACAATTTTTAAGGCAAAGAAATTGAAATATTTTCTTTTAGTACATTAAAAGATTCTGATTTTTGGCAAAATAAATTTGTTATTTTCATTAAAACTTGATTTGAATTGCCTTTAGTTATTGTTTGAACCATTTATCAGTGTTTATTGCATCAATTCCTTTTCAAATCAGTTGTCAAAGAATGTCTTCTTTTGTAAACTTTTCTCATTTCTGCCAGTAAAGCTAACCACAGATCAGAGGCAGACCAACAATGAGGATATCTGTATTCTTAAGGTTATAACTACAGAAGCATGCATGGCTCAGCTGAAAGGCAAATAATGATCCCAAAGTGAAAAAAAAAAAATCAATACACATTTATAGAAATTTGGTTAGATTCCCTTAGGGCTATTCCATTAAAATGTATGTGGGAGGGTAGGAAGGGAAGTTTGATTATTGAATTTGGGTCATGGGTCTTTTTTCAGTATATGGGTCTATTACCATAATGCAAAATTATCTAAAAAATGGTTCTTGGTTGTAGGGATAATTTGAAGTCCCTTCCTACCCTCCCCATACATTTTAATGGAATAGCCCTTAGTTATATTTTAATCAAATGCATTGTTTTAATTTATTGATTGAAACCACTGTAGTTCCTTACTATTGTTAAATTTGTCTATAGTTAATGAGAAATGATATTAATGAATATTATAAACAGAATAGAACATTAATTGAAAGTCATATGTGCAAAAATGTAATTGTGTAACTATAAATGACAATCCAAGGCATATACTGAGGCAACTGTAATGGTATTCTCAGGCATAAAATAAAATCGGATTTGTACAGTACAAACTAGAATTTAATCCTGTAATTACCAAACATTATATAGCAGAGAAAGCAGACAAGCACTTCTATTTTAATGCTCACTTCTACCTATCAGTTTCAAAAAGAAAAGTCACTTCCCCCTATGATTCTGAAGTAGTGTAGCTTCCCTTATGATTCTGAAGAAGTGTAGCCCTAATTTTGTTATGAATGTTTTTAAAATGGCACAATTGTGTCTTCCATTTGAATTTCCTTTGTAGCAAGGTACCGTATATACTATATTGTAGTCACAACAACTTAATTTCTTCCTTTAAAATAAAGATCTACAGCAATTGAGAGATTAGCAAGAGAAGCATTCTTAGATGTGGGAGAATCTCTTCAGAAGAGACGACGACAAGATTTGGCATACACCTCAGCTGGACATATTAAGGTTGTTGATAGGTAAGATGTTTTCAAAGTCAGGACAGCTTTTTAAGACAGTTATGTTTTTTGCTTGATTTCATGTCACACGTCGTTGACAATTATGACTCGAAATGTTTACATCAGTAGGACATTTTAAACATATTTTGTTTGGGTTTCCAGATAATAATTAAAGTACCACTTGACAAAATCTTTGAACACAATGTAATGGATCATAAAATAAAGGTCAACTTCCATTTTGAAGGTTTTAACATTTAATATTCATGAGTTGTTCCCCTTAGTTACTTAAATTTGGATTTTTTTCTTTTTGGTTTCCAGGTGATTATGAAAATTTTTAATTCTCCTTCATTAATTCGAATATAAGAATAAGAGGCAAGTCAAATAGAAGACTTGGTTTGCTCATTGTAACTTATTCTTTTCTGTGCTATGCATACTTTAATAAAGACCACAAAACATAAAAAAATATCTCCAAACAAACACACATCTAGCTGTTCTACACTTAATCCCGACTGTGCAAGGGCTGTATATATAGCCAGTCAAGGTCGTTAAAAACTTCCATTTGTTGTACACTTAATCAATACAATATACTGTAAATAATATGCTATGCAGAATGTGTTGAACTTAGAAGTTACTGTGAGCACCTCAATACATACTATGCAAGTATCAGCCTTATATATAACTTATAACTCGGGGACAAAACTTAAAGGGAGCCCAGTCGCCCATGGCTCCTAGATTTTGAGCTGGGCCCCTAAACTTTCAGGTAAATTTCAGTTGAACATATAGAAACTAATTATGAAATATCTGGTCTGGGCTCCCAGCTTGAAATTCCAAAGTTTAGTCCCTGTAAATTAAACTATAGAACTTCCTAAAAGAAATATTTGTGCAGTACTAACACGAAGACATTAATCATATAATTAAATACTAATCAAATTAGTTCTACAGGTTCTAAAGATAGAAATAGAAAAGGGAAAATCCAAGTATAACAGAATAGAAATAAATTGTTTGACAATTTTACACAATGTTATGAAACATAAAATATAGGTCAAGTTCGATTTGAATTTTGGTTTTTGCATTTACTGTCATTGTTGTAGTTTTTCTGCAAGCAGGCGTATCAGTGATCACTAGATCACCAAATTCTAGTTTATTATTGTACTAGAAAAGTAAAAATAGTGTTAAATACAAATTCATTGATATCTTGCATGTTTGAATTTATCTGCCAGTCTAAAAAGGGAGACAACCTTTATAACATTAGAACCATATCAGAAAGAAGACAGACTATGTTGATTATCAGTTATTATTGATTACACAGAATACCTAAAGTTCTGGAAGGGTGAAATTTCCGGACTTCAATTTTATCTTTTGGCAATTCCAAGTGATGACAGCCAAAAGATTGGACTTTGTTATTTTTTGTCTCGCCTTGACGGAGTCAAAAAGCAAGACATAGGTATGCTGTTTCTGGCAATGTATTAGTTTCTGATAAGGTCTAGTTCATGGTGAACCACTATTGGTAGGTCAATGATATTTGGTATGCAGTTGTATTAGCATTGGCACATCTCATTACCATGGATATTATTTAGCCCGGCCCCTCAGTCAAGGTCTATTGACTTTGAAACTTTGCTTAGTTTACATGTATTAGTTTGTGATTAGGTCAGTTTATGGGGAACCACTAGTGGTAGGTCAATGTTATTTGGTATGCAGTTGTATTAGCATTGGCATATCTCATTTCCATGGATATTATTTGGCCCTGCCCCCTCATTCATGGTCTATTGACTTTGAAACTTTTGCTTAGTTTTCATGTATTAGTTTGTGATTAGGTCAGTTTAAGGGGAACTGTTAGTTGTAGGTCAATGGTAATTGGTATGCAGTTGTATAAGCATTAGCACATCTCATTTCCATGGAGAATATTTGGTCCTTACCCCTCAGTAATGGTCTATTGACGTTGAAACTTTTGCTTAGTTTACATGTATTAGTTTGTGATTAGGTCAGTTTATGGGAAACCACTAGTGGTAGGTCAATGATATTTGGTATGCAGTTGTATTAGCATTAGCATATCTCATTTCCATGGATATTATTTGGCCCGGCCCCCCTGATTCATGGTCTATTGACTTTGAAAATTTTGCTTAATTTTCATGTATTAGTTTGTGATTAGGTCAGTTTAAGGGGAACTGTTAGTGGTAGGTCAATGATAATTGGTATGCAGTTGTATAAGCATTAGCACATCTCATTTTCATGGAGAATATTTGGTCCTTACCCCTCAGTCATGGTCTATTGACTTTGAAACTTTTGCTTAGTTTACATGTATTAGTTTGTGATTAGGTCAGTTTAAGATGAACCACTAATGTTAAGTCCATGATATTCAGAATGCAAATGTATTGGCATTTGCAAGTTTCATTTCCATGGAGATTATATAACCCCACCCCCTAATTATGGTTCATTGACTTTGAAACTTTTACATAGTTTACAAGTTAATGTTTGTGTTTAGGTTTGTTTAAAGGGAACATCTTTTGAAAAGTCAATGGTATTTGGTTTGCAGTTTTATTAGCATTGGCACATCTCATTTCCATGGAGATTGTTTAGCCCTGTACCTTCAGTCATGGTTCATTGACTTTGAATATTTGCATAACTTACATGTTAAAGTATTGCTATTTTAATTTCATTATTTGCATTATCAAAATAACAAATAGGCGAGACATATCTCTGTGTTAACAGTTTATGATAGTATAAAGATATTAAAGTTAGTTAAGTAAAAGAAAATGTTGGTAGAAGGGCATCCTTGTATTTGAGATTACCTTCCTGTTTAAGTCATTCAAGTTTTATTGCAGGCTACCAGAAGATCCTGCATCACATGACCCGGAGCTGAAGAAAAAGTTGAATGAAAATAGAAAACATTACAAAGAGAAAATGGAACAGGTATCATTAATTCTATATATTCTGTTTACGTATTAATCCAACATAGCATTTAATCATACTTTTAAACTTTTCAAGAATTTATGTTTAACTAATATTAACTTTTTGTTTTATTCATGACTTAATGTAAGATCTTCAATGACTTTCATTCCTGCAGTTCGTTTTATCAATCAGACGGTCGTGAATTTTTAGATAAACAAGTTCAATTTCTTTTGCAAACAAACATTTGGAAGATTGAATTATAAACAGAGATGTGACTGCCCTTAAAAAACTGCTTTTGACAAATTTTACCATTTTTGCCTATTTTCTTTGAAAGCTTTAATAGACAGAAAAGGCTTTATAACTGAAATGCTAAAATGACCACATATAGGAGTAATTACCTTTATATAACTTTCTGAAGAAAACTGTAAATTTCTTTTTCAGGTGATGAGTAAATATGCTGATATTGCTACAGCTACTGAACCCATTGAAGAAGAGAATCAGTCAGAAGAGGAAGATGAGGAAGAGGAAACCAGTCAAAACATTGATGTACCAGAAATAACTACAAGTTAATATTTGGTGATAGACGTTGTATTTTCTATAGTAAAATGGTACAATTTAGGATACATACAGTTATGATATTGCACATTTCAAGTTTACGTTGAAAAAAATTTATTCATAATTTTTTTTACTAACTTTTCTGTAGTAAAATTTTTTTATATTTTTGTTTTTGAAAAGATATGAAATTTTCGCTAGAGGCTCAAAGGTTTTGATCATAAACAATTATTTAGAACAATATCCTTACTTTCAAAGAAAAGGATGTAAAGTGATTTATAAGAAAGGGCATGAATGAAATTTTGTTACATTTGTCTCCAGAACTACAAATCAAAGCTTTCTGTATTTTAAATCCGTGAGCATCCTGTACTGTACGATAACATCCATCACTCATCAACTTCCTGTTTACCAAATACTTATAGGGGTTATCATTAGTGAGCAACAGCTCACAGCTCAACTTGTTTAGTCTCTAGTCACCAGGATGGTCGACTGGAGTGTAGAGTATGGTCATCCCTTGGTCTTCTTCCAACTGTTTAAAAAAGATTGCAAGAAATATGATGCCTCTTGTAGAGAGAGTGTCACACTCTCTGCACGTTAAGAACCCTTGCAACAACTCTTTGAGGGATCAGTAGGTGGCCTGTTGAAGGATTTCAGTCCTTATTCTATATACCCTCATTTTCTAGTGGCATTTCAAATATCCTATTCCCTATTCCGATTGACCCCTTTTTACAGAACTACCAATTGTATTAATTGTTAATTTGTTCTTGTCCTGACCATGCATGAAATATTTGCCACTGGATGTTAAGCAAACAACAACCAATTTAGTCACTACTTACTTTAAAATATGGTTAATTTTTTATTAAAAGTTGGTTTATTATTAACAAATAATTTCATATTTTTATTTCCTTATCCTTTTGTGACTTGAAACTATTTTAGAAAAAGAAAAAAATACTCATTTTTTGGTTAAAAGTGAAATGATTTATTTGTAGCTTGTTAGAAACAACAAAAATGAAGAAATCGTTTGCTAATTTATTGAAAAAGAATAAAATTATTGTAAATGATCAAATACAAGAAGAAATCTGTTAGCATGCATAAATCATGATCTAAATTTTGTTTGTTGTGTTGGCATTATTTTTTGTTTTGTGTTCTAACAACAAAATTTGTCCTATTTTGTCTATTTTACTTTTAAGAATATACATTACTTACTTATTTTACCTGGTTTGATACAGCTTAGATATATACATAACTATATGAAAGTCTATTATTGAAAAAAGGACATCAATCACATGTGTGCACACCATTTTTAGGATGATTAATTTTTTTTTTTTTAAAGTTACCGACACTACCAGTATTTACCTTAGTTAATAGAATGTACCTTAATAGGTCACTATTTAAGCCATGTCAAATCAGGTCAAAATAATGGAGTAATAGTTATGAATTGTTATGGCATGATGCATGGGTAAAACAGCTGTTTATTGATTATTTATTTAGCATACTTCACTTAAACCAATTAACTGTCCACTTGTTTACACACATATTATACACACCAAACATAGCATATGTTTTTGTATTTAGTTTTTAATTAAATACTAATGTGCGTATGACTTATTCACTAAATGCCATTAAGGCACAATTTGTTTGTCTTATCAGAAAAGAATGTATAAAAGTTTTACACAGATGCTAGATTTCTGCCATCAATGTCTCATTTCAAATGATTAGGTTTGAGCCATTCTGATGAAGGTAATTCCAGAAAAGGGCTTCTGAAGCTCAAATTTCATAAAGATTTATTTCCATGTCAAGTTTTGTTTTTTGATTAGGTTGGTCCATTTAGAAATAATTGAACACTTTAATATTAAAAGACATGTCATAATTCAATTCTGTTGCATTAGCATCCATTCAGTAACAGCACAATTCTCAACTAAATAGGCAAGTGTTTTCATGTTATTACTTCTTTTAACATTTACTTCAGATAAATCAATATAACAAAATGGATTTGAAATTCTATAAAGTTGCCTGCTAATGATAGATTTAAAGACAATGTATTTAGATGTTGTCAAAGGGAGATAATTTATGCAAAATTATTTGTATTAATATTATGCTATTAATTTATTTTTCACAGTCCATATGTGAATCAAGAGAGGTGCTTTCATTTTTTTTTCTTTTTTCTTTTTCTAATTTTTTTTTTCTTTTTTTTTTTGCAGGGGAGATGGTTTTGAAAATATTAAATAACAATTATTACTTGAAAAAAAATTCATATACATGTACATGTATATGTCATTATGATTTCTTATTATGTAGTTAACAGCATTTTAATATAGATGTAGGAAAATACCTCACTTTTACCTGAAAACTAACTTAGTAATGTAGTATTTGTATCTTCCAAATATGTTCATTAAATTAACATATAATGTGGTGTTCAGACTTTGAATGAACACAGCCTTACAATATTGCAGTGAACACAATTTTGCAGATTATAATTTGATTTACATATGAATGGCTATCTTTCATTCTTTACAGCAAATATATATAGTGTTAGTTTTACTCTTTCCGTACTTATGTTTACATTGAATCAGCTAAATATCACAATGAAATTCAGAAAAATGTAAAACAAAAAAATTATACAGTAAAACTATTAATGATCCTGAAATTTGCAAGTTCAATGTTTATTACCACTGCCAGAAATCTTGACACTGATGATTAAAAATTTACTATTTTTTTCAGTCCTTGAAGACAGAAGAAGTCCAGTATTAGAAATCTTAGAGCAGGTATCGCCTACCACATGTAGGTCACAAGGCAGGGATACAGATCATTCTGATGTTGAAATGGAAACAGAATCTTTTATTATTGAAACTGATTATGCTGAAGATGTTGAGTTTTCTACAGCAACAGACTATAGTTCAATCACTGAAGAAAAGACATCTGGTGATGAAGATGCAACAGGAAGTCCAGCAGTATTATGGGAAATTGATGAAGATAGCATCAGTAAGGTGGCAATTCCTGACAAAACAGATTGTTATGTAGATTTAGGCAGCCCTGTTCAGATTCACTCAGCTTTTGTTGAAAATATTTCAATTCATCAAAATTCAGAAATTATTTATGAAAGAAAATCTCATAATCAAAAAGATGAAGATGAAGAATGTCCAATTTTGTACACTGCAGTTAAAATTGATGACTTTGAAAAAGAAACAAGCTTGAAAAATGATGATAACCCCTCAGGTAAAAGCAAAGTAAAAATATTATCTGTTGATCTAACTGCAAGTAAAAGCCGAGTAAGGATATTAACTGGTGATGATGATCTTTTTGAAATGTCTGGTGTAGAAGAAATGTCAGACTCTGATGAAGATAATGGCAATTGCTGTAGTGAAATAACAGGCATTATAGATAGAATAGGTTCACCAGTCAAAGATATTTTGGATTTAGATGAAAATGAATTACATAAACAAAAAGAAAATTTAAATGAGAAATCCAACAGTTCTTCAGATATAATTGAAGTTAAAAAGGGGTGTTCTGTATGCAATATAGACAAGGGAAATGAATTGACACTTATTGATAAGTTGTGTTCATGTGTAAGGTCAGAACAGGTGAAAAATAGGGTAAAAAATTTGTTACATTTTCCTCAAAGTGACAATACTTTAATAGAAAAAAACACAGAAAAGGAATTAGCAAAAGATAATCATTGTATTTCTGACCAAAGTGTGAAACCAATTTCAGATTCTCAGAAAAATTTAGAAGATAACAGTCTATTCATTTCCGATACCAAAAGTACAGCTCGTAATGTTTTGTCTTTGAAAATTGGGAGAAATAAGGCAGAAAAAAATGATTCAATTGAGCAAGGAAAAAATGCTGATAGAAAAGGGAATTTCCACAATTCAAAAGACTTGTCATCCAATGAGCCTGATGGTAATTCTGAGGTAGCAGCAGAAGTAAAGGTCACCAAAACAATGGGGGGATGGAAAACCCCTTTTTCAGACTCGCCTAGTCAGTCATTAGATTCGGTTAGTGACTCGGAAGGTATTATTGAGTTAAATTCAGCCAAAGATTCAGAAGGTATTATTGAGTTAGATTCAGTTAGAGATTCAGAAGGTATTATTGAGTTATCACTTGGAGGATCATCAGAAAGTGTTGAAAGTACTCAAGAAACTTTGGAAGAAGCTGAAGATAATGAAGTTTTAACAAAGGCTGGTGATTCTGAAAAACGTAATTCATTGTCAAAGACAAATCCATTTTTTAAAATTATTGATGTGACTAGTATTGATCTAGATGAATATAACAGTGATTCTTCCAACAATCCTATTGGGAACACTGATACTTCAAAACAGACAGTAATTGAAACTGATACTTTGGAGCATCCTGTAAGGAACAAGACAAAGGTAGTGGAATATGCAAGTCCTCTCTCAGAAGAATCAAAATCTAGGAATAAAATTACGAGTTTATTTGGTAAAGTGGACAAAATTTCTAATTTTTTATCTGGGAAAGTTCAACAGAACTCTAAACAGATATGCAGCTCATCTAAACAGAAAGATTCAATACCTCAGCATGCTCAAAATAATGTTTTAAAGAACACTACACTATCTATAGATCTTGATAAGTCCATAGTTACAGAATCAGAAAATGCAGTTTCTTCTTTATCTGATTTGCAAGCTAGCAACAAAGAAAAGAAGGAGAGCAATCTTTTTAACAAAGAGAAGTGGAATAAAGACTTTGTGAAAAAATCTTTGTGTAAAGTAAAAGGGAAATTATCTTTAGCAAAAAAGCACATTTCAGATTCGGAAAGCAGTGACGAAGGAGATGATATCCAAATTATTCAGGAAGAAAACATGGATAGGGACTCAAGGAGGAAAGAGGAAATTATTGTTTTGTCAGACTCTGACTAATGGAGTTGTTGATAGTCTGTATTATGGATAATCTGTATTACATACATAACTGGCAATCATTATTTTGGCAAATTATCAGATAATTTGGACTATTCAGGGAATTTTATGCATTATATTTGTCAAAGACCATGAAAGTTTTTGTCTTGCCTGCGATGAAAGAAACAGAATTTGAGACATAGGGATTACAATCCGGTGGCAGCTATAGGATAACTATATTTAGTACATATGGGTTTCTTGCAACGTCTGCATGTCCATCAGACAGTGTTCACCTGACCTCATTTCATGGATGAGAGATCAATGTTAAATTTACATGATTAGGTCTGTTTCTTAGATAAAATAAGCAGAATGTTTACTATATCAGTTGTATATTGGGTGTATGGAACGAGTGTAAGGTGTAAATGTCAATCTGACATGTATCATCTGACCTTTACCTCATTTTCTTGGATCATTTGGTCATTGTAAATTTTCTGTAGTTTGGCCCTCTTCTCAGATATGATAAGTAATAGGTCAAGTATACTTGGGGCATGGAATGATTGTAAGGTGTACATGTCTGTCTGGCATGTATCATCTGACCTTTACCTCATTTTCATGGTTCATTTGGTCATTGTAAATTTTCTGTAGTTTGGCCCTCTTCTCAGATATGATAAGTAATAGGTCAAGTATACTTGGGGCATGGAATGATTGTAAGGTGTACATGTCTTGACCTGGACCTCATTTTTATGATTCATTGATCAACATTAATATTTTGTAGTTTGGTCTAGTTCTTTGATACTATAAGCAAAAGATCAACTATATTTGGTGTATGGAATGATTGTAAGGTGTACATGTCTGTATGGCAGGGTTTATCTGACCCTGACCTTATTGCCAATGAGCATTAATAATGTTTAGTTTATGCAATACTTGTAGAAAAAACCTTTATCTTTAAGACTTTCATCATTAAATCAATCATGGTCAGTAAAGCAGGCGAAACATTTCAGTGTGTGCACTTTTGTTACTATAACTTGTTGCTTTATAATTTGAAATTGAATAATCCTAGTACATGCAGGTTTGTATGCCCCAAATTTGGTAGGAGGGAGACATGTTTTCTGGTCTGTGCGTCCATACCTCCCTTTTCAAGTAAAAGTTTTGGCTTCAGGTAGTTTGATATGCAGTCAGGTAAGAATAAATTCTATGTTTTAGTAATACTAATCATCATATGTTTTAAGTTCTAAACATCAGTTTTTCCCTGTAAAACATCTTTGAAAAAATGGTTATGATTATAGTAACTTTAATAAGAGTAATGTTACTTGCTGATAAACTAAAGATGATAGAACCAAACTTTTGTTAAAATATTTTATCCCCACATTTCCAATTCAAAGTACTTTTGGACATATAATTTGATATTCAGGAATGTGCTATTCAATCAAAATTCCCTATACTTCAACACTTGTCCATACATGATTCAAACATAGTAATTAGTGGATATAAAATTGTTATGTCAATAGGAGCATTTTCCAATGCAAAAATTTAACAGAATACATACAGATGCATGAACTTGAAAATTTATCGAGTAACCTCAATATAATTAAGCATGAGGTTGCAAGTACAGCAATGGAAACAAGAACGAAAATCTTTAATCATCATAGATTATTAAAAAAATATGAGTAGAGTTAATAACGTTATACAATTTTAAACTCAAAAATCTCAAATATTTAGGATTTTTATGGTTCTCTTTTCACAAATCATGCCTTAAAAAAATATGAAAAAGGGGACTTCCAGTCTAAGTTAATGATTTTCACATTAAGGAAAGGTTAAACCCTGGATCCCCTTCCCTTCAGGAGCTGTTTCTTTCTTGTGTCCCTGTCCCTTTGGATTCTTTTTGCATCAAGTACTCATAAATTTCTACAAAATTATGATTAAAGGGAAACTGATACAAGTTATATCAAGTTCTTAACCATGAGTTACTACCATCCCTTATTTCCATTACTATTGACTTTGTTTTTCGTTCAATTGAAGTTACTATCATCACATCTGTTTTTTAATATCCTTTGTTTATTGCCTTTCCAAAGTAATGGTTTTTGCCTTTTTTTTATAAAAAATAGATTTATCTTATAAGAATACAAATAAATGGCATGATAGTGAAATGTTTAAAAAAAAAAATCATTTTACTGTTTTCCTTGTTAGCCATCTTGGGACCTCAGTAATGCCTGTTATTAATATCATCAGTTTTATACCAGTGCAATTCAGCGTATTCTTTATACATGTAGTTGTTTACTTGGGGTTAGATTTGGGAGAGAGAGAGAAGGGGGGGGGGGGGGGGGGGGGGGGGGGTGCTGCTTTTCTTTTAATCGTTTTGATATAATATTAGATAATTCTTGAAGTATAGATACAGATCATTTTTTCTTTGTTATAAAGTATGCCCAATTACAATGCTTATTTTGTTTAGTAAAAGGTTTCTATTGAGTAATTACAAAACACATGGTGCTTAAGGGAGTTGTAAATAATTACAAAAAAAGAGTATCATTCCAATTACATATGCATTTCAAAACCTATAGGGTTAAAATGGCACAAATCATTGACTACATATATATATATTGTCACAATGATTGAAAAATGTTAAGGTTACAGTGGTTAGAGTGTTGATTTAATTTTATTGACATTTAAATATATCATGAATCAATGTAATATAATTGTACAGGCTCTTGCAGTATTGGTAAATTGAAATTTTAGGCTGGCTGCAGAATGGAAACTTTGATATAACGGCTTTACAGCTAGTTTATAATGGGGGAAAATCTGGCTGCAAAATAGGAACTTTGATAAACCTTTACAGCTAGTTTATAATGGGGAAACATCTGGCTGCAAAATGGGAACTTTGATAAACCATTACAGCTAGTTTATTATGGGGAAAAATAGGCTGGCTGCAAAATGGGAACTTTGATAAACCTTTACAGCTGGTTTATAATTGGGGAAATAGGCTGGCTGCAAAATGGTAACTTTGATAAACCCTTACAACTGGGTAATGACGTGGACAAGTGGGGAAATTTGGTATTTATTGATATGAAAATTAAATTTAAAACACATTATTACCTTGATATTACTTGTTCTAAAGTATTTTTTCAATAGTTGGCCGTTTTTCATTTAATGTTTTCATTCTCTTATTTATTGAAAGTATTTTTGAACAAATGGTCAACAATTTGATTGTCATCTTCATTATTTATATGACATTAATTGTAATTATATATATATATGTTCTATTTTTTAATTAACATTTTATTGTTTCTACCTTACTTACTGATGGTCAGCAATGGAGAAAAAAGAATAAAATATTAAATCTGACACCTATTATGTTTTATGAGTTGCTGTGCCCTTGACAAAAAGCTTAATAAAACGGACTTGTCTCCTATGAACAACAAATCATTGTTAGCAATGCTGATGCTCCTTAGAACACAGTTTTTTTGATGGTGACTGTGTTAATTTTAAGAAATATAGCTCTCAAGGTTTTTAAAGGACTAAATATAGATTTAAAATTTTGAACTCCAATAAACTGAAGGAAAAGTTGTAAGATTTATACTGCATATTAATATAACTGAAAATTGGGTACGAGTTGGTAGAAGTACTGAAGAGTTTGTAAAAGTACGAGTTTAGTAAAAATCGGGTCTAGTTGATAAAGGTACGAGTTGACATGGATCCTACTCAAGATAAGGTTGTAACTCCTTTGGTGGGTTTGGTTGTTCTATGATGTATCTATGCCTTTTTTGGTTTTTATGCTATTTAGCTCACCTCACTCAAAGGGCCAGTTTGAGCTATTTCCATCAGCTGCCGTCCATTAATGCACGTTCACTTTTACAAAAATGTTCTCCTCGAAACTACTTGGTCTATTCGAACATACTTAGCCACAATCAGCCTTTACAGTATCTAGAATATAAAAAAAGTGTCGGAAAATCCGGCCTGGCAACCAACATCGACACCATGTCTTTAAATAGGGACAACGTCTAATATTTTTAAAACCGTTTTAAAATGAGAAAATCTGTCTTGCAAAAATGTTCCTAAAATAAAAATAAGAACATGTAGTATAATTGCCAATAAAACAACTAACCACCAGAGTTCAAATTATAAAGATATAAGCAATTATAGGTCACCGTACGACTTTAACAATGGGGAAAACCCGTAAGCTTGATATTGATAATCCCGCATTGTATCCGTCTATTGATACAATACTGTTCTCTTAACAATGCCCGTTTCTAGTGCTACCGTCGAAATGTCGTTTAGCGTACTAAAACGTTTAAAAACGTACATCCGTACGCTTTCCACAAAGAGAAATGACAGATTGTCGTTCTTATGTTTAATGCACTTCCACCGTGATTTTGAGTTCAATTTAGACATCCATGGACGTTTTTGTTGCAGCTAAAAAACGGCGGGCAGATTTTTGAAAATTGCTGATGTTTCTCAATAAAAAATGAGCAAATGCAGTTTTACTCATTTGCTTTTCAAACCAATTTTAGGCCCTCAGATAGCACCATTTTGCGTCGAGTAAAAATAAATCTTGCTTGTCCCCATACCCCCCCCCCCCTTACTGGCCAGCTCTTCAAATGGATCCAGCTACGCTCCAGCACTATCTAAGCCTTTTTTGGTTTTTACACTATTTAGCTCACCTCACTCAAAGGGCCAGTGTGAGCTATTTCCATCAGCTGCCGTCCATTAATGCAGTTCACTTTTACAAAAATGTTCTCCTCGAAACTACTTTTTCTATTCGAACATACTTAGCCACAATCAGCCTTATCAGTATCTAGTATATAAAAAAAGTGTCGGAAAATCCGGCCTGGCAACCAGCATCGACACCATGACTTTAAATAGGGACAACGTCTAATATTTTTAAAACCGTTTTAAAATGAGAAAATCTGTCTTGAAAAAATGTTCCTAAAATAAAAATAAGGACATGCGGTATAATTGCCAATAAAACAACTAACCACCAGAGTTCAAATTACAAAGATATAAGCAATTATAGGTCACCGTACGACCTTCAACAATGGGAAAAACGCATACCGTATAGTCAGCTTTAAAAGGCCCTGACATGACAAACGTGAAACAAAACGAAAAAACTAACGGCCTGAATAATAATAATACAATTCACGAACGACAACCAATGAAGTACAGGCTCCTGACTTGCAAGTTGGGACGGGCACATAAAGAATCAATCTGATGAAAATTCAGATCTATCGTAACTCGCTTACTCATACGAGCATAACCAAGTCAAGTAGATTTTATTTAGAGCGACAGTCGGCATATATGTACGCAATGCCAGTGCAATAATGAATACCAGTGGTGTAACAGCACAACATAAAAACAAACTAAAAATCAGTTGCAAATGGCGTAACTCAATAGATCGGTACGGAGAACCAAAAAAAAACAATTAACATAAAAACATGAGACACAAATCACCGATAAAAGAGTACTAGCAGATACTAAAACCTAGTAAATGTCAATCTATCTACTGACTATTTTCACCATAATTCTTAGACGACTCCTTCAACTTCAACTTCATTACTCGTCAAAATCCACACTGGACATCTAATAACGAGGACTTGTGTGCACGTGAATAGTGTGGTGTGCGCAAACAATCCAATAAAAAAATGTAGCTCCGGTGATTAAAATATAACAATACAAAAGTTCAAGCTCATTAGTTGATTTTGATTCTCCTTTGAAGGCCTCCAGTGATGGTGCGAGCACAACCGATTCTGACCGAGTGTTCCAGACGGTAATTTCTAGGGACAAATGAATGTTGACAAATGTTGATTCTTCAGTGGTATGGCAAGAATTTAGTTGGTGGACTACTTTGTACATGAGAGTGACATCTTCCATGGTTCTTCGTTTTAGTGTGTTCCAGTTGAGGTTTTGAACCATTGATGTTACACTGATTGGCGTCTCGGGGTTGTATGGTTGGTTCATTGCAAATCTGGTAGCATTCCGCTGTACCTGTTCTATCTACTTGATCTGAGTTTTCTGCTGTAGATTCCAAATAGATGTTGCATACTCCACTTTCGACCAGACTAGACTTCGGTATGCTCTTTCTTTTATCTTCGGTATACAAGGTCTGAAATTCCGCTTCAAGAACCCAAATATACTTGAAGCTTTCTTGCAGATAGTGTAAATGTGCAGATGGTACTTAAGTGTGTCACTGAGCTCAACGCCTAGGTACGGATAGTAGTGTACAATTTCTAATCGCTCATCTTTTATGGTGTACTTGTACAGTCTCTTCTTAGTTGATGTGGTAAACTGCCTGATGGCACATTTCTTGACGTTAAACTCCATGTGCCATATTTCGCTTCATTGTCCTAGTGTTTCCAGGTCTTTTTGAAGTAATGCATTCTTTATTGGACTCTATGGGTCTATAGATGACATAGTCATCAGCGAACAGTCTGTTAGTTGCATGATGTTACACCATCAGAGAGATCGTTGATGTACATCAAGAAAAGTGTGGGTCAAAGCACAGTCCCCTGTGGAACACCTGATGTTACTGGCTCAGTGTAGGATGTTGCGTTATCTACTACAACCTGTTTTTGTCGGTCTTGTATGAGTTATTACCCTTAAATGACGATTCTTTACTTATTTTTCAGATGTTGGCTATCATCTTGAGAACTATAAAACATGTAGATTTAGAAAACTTTAAACAACAGAACTAATCAACAAGAAAAGATTGACAAATAATTCGAAATAGTCAGTCGACTTATTGAAGGAGTTAAATCGCAATTTTTACATAGTTTGCGTTTGTGGTCAAATTTATATTAAATGGAGCGAAACTGTAAACATAAAAAAATTTCAAAATCTATAAATAAGTCAATATGACTGAAAGCATCTATCGACTCCTTAGATGAGTTGTTGCAGTTATAACCCATTGTTGCCTATCATCTTGAAATATTTACTGTGTCCAGCAAAAATGATTAGTAAGACAAGAATTTGGCCCACGGAAGATCACATTCTACATAAATATTCTTGTTGCGTTGTATCGGTTGTATTTAAAAACTCCAGTTGAGCGATACATAAATGTTGATTAACGATTTCATAAAGATAAGTCAAGAAAAAACACAATTTAACTCAAAACCCACAAATCAGAAATAAATAATACCATAATGATGGATGTTTCAGGCGCGGATCTAGGATTTGGTTTAAGGGGAGGGGGACTCTTGAGAATTAGGAATTAAAGGACCTTATTTTGACTCACAATTGGCTGTTATTTTACCTTTCTTATACATTTCTTGTTTGCCTTTTAGGGGAGTGGATGGCGCACCCTGAATCTGAACCTGATGTTCACAATTACTGAAAGCTTGCTAAGTTTTTATTCTACTGACATATAACACTCACCTCCTTGTACTTCTTGATGACTTTCACTCTTATATGCTCTTGGAATGCCTTTTGTACATTTTTTTCTTTCTTTTATCGAATAAAATGTATATTTATGTCTGGCTCTTTAAATGGCGGATAGAGCCCTTTTGTAATTAGTCTATATACAATATCTGCTAGTCCACCTTTGAAAGAGTGTTTTCATTAAGAGGGTTTGGATGGGGTTTACAGAAAACAGAATAACGGACATAACGGACAAGAAGCAATTTAAAGAATAGAGAAAAATATGCAAAAAAAGAAGTATAGAAAAAAATGGGGGTGCTGAAATATAAAGAATAGAAATCAGGGTTAAAATAAATAATTATATACAAATATAAATAGAATAGAGAAAAAAATGCTCTAAAAAGTTAAAGAATAAAGAAATGAAGGACCCCATCCAGACCCTCAAGTATGAACACGGCAGAGTTTAATAATGATACATTATATGAAAGTTCATCACACATAGGTGTATTGCAAGAAGGTCGGAATCTACATTTTGTATATCTAAAATGGAAGATATCATTCAGGATTACAAAACTTTTTGAAAACATAAAAGGAAATGGTGTTTAACTTTTGAATGGCTAGAAGGATGTCATATCGTTCATCAATGAAAGGTGTGCCACGAATAACATTTTAGATTTTAGTTAAAATTTCAAGTTAGCAGTAAAACTGCATAATATTGATTTCACATGTTTGTGGAATAATCTCGATCTCAGTTTATATATCAAAAAGCATTGAATGATTATTACATGTATTACAGAATGTATACAAGTAAGACAAAGACTGGGCTCAAATTTCCTCGTTAGAAAGCCAAGGACACCAACTTTGTATAAATAAAGTCCAAGTTTCACAAAACAAAAGTGTTTTTTTTTTTTCATTTTGATTTCATCTTTTAAAAGGTTATATATAACTATACATAATTGTCATGTATCTGATATACATATTCACTACTACCAGAGATAGCGTAACGATCTAGAAGTTATGTCCATCTGAAAGGTCAATGTCACAAAGTTCTTATAATAGGTATATGTCTCTGTTAAAAAGAAGATGCTATCGAACAATTATTTATAACTTGATTTTTTTTTTAAATACTTCTGTCGTTTATGCCAACTTTTACAATAGAATGCAAGACGATCTTTAATGACCTGCTAACACTCTTCCCAATTCATTTTCGATGGAGGGCGATATGTTGGTCTTTTTCTCAGATAGTTTATATAACCTCTCGGTCTTGAACGATGTTGAGGTCCCCTTGAATACCATGGTCATAGGATTCATATCTTAACGTCTATGATCCACATACATTCTCATTTTGATTGTAAACTATTTTCTTAACTGATGTCTGGCCTAGCGGTCATAAAAGATTAGAGCACGTACTAAGGCACAGGAATTAACTAAGCAAAATACTAGATTTGGTGTTTCGAGCACGAGTTTTGTAATCCTAGATTACTAAGTCTTATGACTGAGGGCCCAGGTGTTACATGCGTTTGAGTAAACACAACACTTCTACTTGGTTTTTATACGTAATACTATACGAAATAATCATGAGTCGGCACTTTGTCATCAGAATAGCCTCAATAGGGAGGTAAACATTTCTGAACGGTACAGTAGATGGTTTTCAGGCTTATCAATACGAGGGAACATCCTATGGTGACCTAAAGCTTTAATGATACGCGTACAGTCATAAAATGGACTTAAAACGATGTTTCACACTCTTTGAAAATATGTTGTATTATTTTTACTAATTGGTAATACACCGATTTCGCATAATAATTAATGAAATTGAGAATGGAAATGGGGAATGTGTCAAAGAGACAACAACCCGACCAAAGAGCAGAAAACAGCCTAAATAGTTAATGTCTATCATTATTCTGAAATATAGATAAGATATCATCAAGTCTTGAATTTGTCCGTTGTTGAATTCGTTTACTACGGTTGTTATTGTCATTTACACCGTGGGAGTATGCAGTATGATGTTGTTTAATCCAAGACGACTCTCAAATTTTACTAGAATCTTCAAATTATTTATATGATTGCCATTGTTGTTTCTGCACGATTTCAAGTGGCTGGAATTATATAAAATTGATATTGTGCTTATTTTTTCCTAAATGCTGGTAATTCAAACATTTGAATTTCTGTACGTCTGCGGAAGCGGTATTAATGTTCCTGTGTTCGTTTGAAAACTTGACGTCCTGTTTGTCCATATTGAAAACCACGTTTAAGTTTAGTTCATGTTACAAGACATTTGAGGCTTTGAGTTTTATCAAGTTACCCCATAGAGCGAAAAAGCTCCTCCGTTCGTTCAATGACTCTAGTTGAAATATATTGTATTTGCTCAAATACAAATTGGACAAGACACAAGGCGAACAAACTTAAGAAATCCTCTTTATTTTACATATTTAACCATGCAACAAATAAGAGTATTTATACATTAAATATTATTTATATATTTATATAAGTTGGAAAGAAAATGAATTTGTCAAAGACTGAAAAGATGAATGAAAAATAAACTGATGACGGAACAGTACTACTGGGAGATTATCTGGATGTGTTTGTCATTTTCCAGAATTGCACGGAAAAAGTTGTGGATACCCACACATCTTCTTACTACTGGTCAAAGCTTCAAATGCTTGCTTTTTGCCAAGTATCACTAAATGATATCACAAAGCAACAAGCTTACAGGCTTTAAATTGAAAAAAAAAAACATTATAGAAAATATGGAAAAGAAAGAGTATATTAATATATTTATATTTTATGTTTAAATTCATGACACAAAATCATTGCACGCACTTGACAAAACTAAAAGCAAAATAAATTAACAACACCCGCATAGTTCTCAACTCAAAGTCATTATGAGACCTTTAACATTGATAAAACGTTCAAACCTCACTGCAAATTTAAAACGAATTTTGGGTGGAATTATTTGGATTTCGACATGAGAAAAGTTAAGTAAAATTACAGTATTGACATTAACACAACATTCTCTACACTTCTGAATAGATATAGGAAGATGTGGTATGAGTGCCAATGAGACAACTCTCCATCCAAGTTACAATTTATAAAAGTAAACTATTATAGGTCAAGGTACGGCCTTCAACACGGAGCATTGGCTCACACCGAACAGCAATCTATAAAGGGCCCCAAAAAATTACTAGTGTAAAACCATTCAAACGGAAAAACCAACGGTCTAATCTATATAAAAACGAGAAACGAGAAACACGTTTGAACTACATAAACAGACGACAACTACTGTAATCAGATTCCTGAAGTCTGCTTACACCCAACATCAGATTCACCAGAACCGAACAACTTTCTTTATTGATAACGAAGCTGCTGTTCAGAATTCTGCCAGATCAGCCTTTCCAAGAATCACTATTAAAGGCTGTTATTCCAATATACCCAGTGTGTTTGCCGTAAAATGCAGTCAACAGGACTCGTCACCAACTATAAAGAGCAACAGACTTCCACCTACGTATACGCAGGGCAGCAGTTCTTCCATTGGTACCAGACATCTGGTTCTATCTTAAAACCTGAAAATTTCGGACTCAAACAAAGAGAAGACAATACACACAAATCAATCAACGCCTACAAGAACTCACAGATCGTCTGCAGAATGATGAAGTTTGTGCTTTTTGTGCTTTTTAGTCCCCTACCAACGTAGTGCTTGAAGATATTGATTTGATATTTGGTGTATTGTTTTATCATGACAAGTTACAGATCAAGTTCGAATAAAATATGTAAATATTATTATTTGTTCATGTTTATTTTTATATTTTATAAGTTACATTGATTAGTAACCTGTTATTAACTGCTACATACTATAAAAACAAATTAATCACTATCAAAACAATTCCCGATTGTCCCACATTTAAACTTCCCAATTGTCCCACAAACATATTTCCGATTGTCCCACAAAATTTCATAACTTTTTTACCTGTAATTTCAAAAAGTGGGACAATCGAGAAGACACCATTTCGATCATGTTACATTAGGGTACATTGAAGAATACAGTTATGATCTAATAATATTGCCAAATTATAAACTAAATCGGGCAAAGAAATCTAACAAGTGCTGTTTACTTCAATGCACAAGATTCAAATATCAGGCGAATAGAAAGATACAAATGAACAAAAAAGTAATTATTCACAAACAAATCATTTCAATTGCGCATTCAGTTATTATGTTTACAAACACTCTGATTTAAACAGATATTGTTTGCTTGTTTAGAGATTGTACAATCCTGTTCAAATCATTATTCAATGCAAAAGATGTTAAACTGTGCTACTTTTAATTAAATGTTCAACTTATTGAAGTACGCCCTTTGCCCTTAACTTTAGTTATCAATGATAATTTGTATGAAAACTCCTGACACTGCAAATATTCATTCTACCCATTACTTTCCGCTTCTTAGCATCGAGGACCAAGACAGAAATGTATCGGGTAGGGTAATCCGAAGTACAAATAAATAATAATGTAACATACGTCTTATCGCCCAATGTCGTAACTCTGTAGTAAACATATCTCTTTAACGATAGACTTGAAAATACCAGCGTTACCGTCACTTGTCCGTTGTAGGTGGAGGGTTAAGTAATTGACATTATCTATTTGCTTACAGAATCAACCCTTAACGAGGGATATAAAACCATTGTATCGGTTAGCAAGCTTTGTCACTTTAACACCACACTTGAAGAGGGCAGCTTAACTTTGAAAACGTCTGGCTTTCTTGACTTGTGACCGAAAGTCATCGAAACTGTAGGTCTCTTAAAGATTTATTTAAAGTATTAAATTTCTAAAAATTTAGACATGTTAAAATTAGGTGTTTTGACTTTTTTCATTGTGTGTTTTGTAAATGGACAATTAACCGACAAAACGAGAATTCCAAATGCATCTGGATCTGACGTAGTAGAAGCTGTAGTGAATTTGATCAGAGAGGCATGTATCTTCCCAAATGATAAATTGTACCTCAGAAGACTTGCCTATGTTGAGAGCATGGATGGTTTGGAAGCAAATACATACAGACCAAATTATTATGGAGGAATTTGGCAGGTTAGTAGCTCATTTTCTCTTAAGTTTCCTATATAAAAATAAACTATAACACCCTTGACTTTTCTATTTGCTATGTATAAATAGAATGTTTTTAAAAAAATAATTGAATGACATCCAAATAAATAGGAAATAAATATTTATTTGAAAGACAAAACATGTGAGTACTCCCGATAGAATTTCGGTGTAAGTTGGATTATCCTTTCTATTCAATTTCGAGATACATGTATATGTAGGCCTAAATGTTACAAATTTTCCGTTTCATAAATCGACACATTTGATACTAATTAACTAACACTGGTTTGATTTCACGAAAACCCAGGTCAAAACTTTCTCAGTTGCAGCTGACCTTTGACGGTCTTTATTGTTCTTTAGATCTTTTTAAGTTATACAGGCTCCCCCTTTTGAATACATATTTGGTTTACACATTCATCGGCGTTGAGTGTTCATGTTGAAGGCAAAATATAAAGAATTGCGCATCCAATTTCAGTAATATCGCTTTGTTTTGATTCCAGTGCAATTAAAAAATAGTAAGATTTGTTTAACTGGAAGTAAATTTTAAAGGTAAATGTGCAGTCAATTTTTTTTTTTATTTTGATATTTAGGAGTAGTGTTTTTGCACAATGATTTTGAAGTCTGTTTTATCAAAATTATTTTTAGCTGTAATAGATATGAAAAATAATATTTTGGGTGTACGTCAATAAGACAGCAACCCGTTGACATATACTAAGCAAAAGACATCTAGAAGTTAGCAACCGGTTTCTAACGATTAACAGTGTCTATACAACATGCCAAGCATTAAATCGCGCCTACAGGTAATATAAGATACGTGTAAGAGACGAATCTTGTGCTCTTTTAAGTCTTCTGTTCGTCATATCATGAACGGAAGCTTGCATACTCTAAGAAGCGTTATTTTTATTTTATTTTCAAGTCAAAGAAATGAAATCGTATGCAACTTTTGAGTTGATACATTTGACACTACATTATTGAATTCATTCAAATGTCAATTCGCCTTCGTTCTTTCTCTTTACTGTTGGCCTCGTTGTTGTCTGTCCGTTTCATAATTTTTCATTGCTCTTTTTGGTATTTTGATGACCAAAAATTGTTATGGGAACATGTGTTACACTTAATGAATTAAATGAATTATCAATATTTGCAGATAGACCAGGACATGTTCCAGCAAATTGCAACAGCAAAAGTTCTAGATGATGCTAAGAAGATGATTAAACAGAGCATAGGCATCGATTGGTCAAAAGTACAGTGGGTAGATCTTGCAAAACCATTATACTCAGGACTTGCCGCCGCTCTGTTTACTCTGCTCAAAGCAGGAAACAATGGAATCCCACGTGGTATCGAATATCAAGCCAATTTTTGGGTGAACACTTCCAGACCTGGCCAACTTGCAAATGTGTTTTTCACAAAATCCAACAAATTAGAAACAGGTAAAGGTCTTTACAATTTTAGGTATGCACGTACACTTCAGATGGACCAAATTTATTTAGTGTTATTTTTCATTTTCTACACCGAAACTTTGTCAATACCTGTGCTGATGGACTGTTAGTCCCCGAGCATCACCAGCCAAGTAGTCAGTGCTTCTGCACCGACATGATTTATAACATACATTTCTTAAATTTTTGTTAGTTGATAAAATAAGAAATTAATACAAAACTAAAGTCCCAACTTTCTCAGGAAAGGTAAACTTTGGTAGTTTTAACTTTTCTTTTCTTTTTTTTCCTTTCTTTTTATTTTAAAAACTGCACTATCAACATTCATTTTAAGGTTTACTTATATGATTGCTGTAGATATTAAATTGACTGGGGTTACATTTTGTAAGATATTTCAAAACAGTTAATCAAATACTTCGTATAAACTTTTGTGATACGGATGAGTTGCCCTCTTCAATGATTTGTTTCATGACCCTTTTTAACATTCTAATGAACCAGAATTAATTTAATTTACAGCTTCAAATAGGTTTTTGCTGCCCAGCCTACCTCAACTGTACGTTCGACAAGAAAAAAAACTTTTGATACATGTTGTTACATGCATTTCTACTTTTATATTGTCGTTTTATAACAATGAAGAAAAGCAGTTGGAGTATGTAAAGGCTAATGAGACAATAAATTAAGAACACAAAAAAAAGAGAAAACGATTATATATGGAGGTCACAATTGCACGTTAAATATATATTTATTTATAACACTTTTATGTAGGGTGTAAAAGAACAAATGCCTTAGATTTGGTATTTGCCCTAGACAGTTCCACCAGTTTAGCTCCTCAAGATTTCGATGTAGCCAAGCAGTTTGTCAAATCTATTGTTGACTCATTTGAGATAAGTAGCGACAAAACACAGGTCGGCCTTATCAGATTTAGCACAACCGTTGATGGAGGGTTTTACTTGAACCAACACACTTCTGCCGATGGATTAAAGAAGGCAATCGACGGAGTGGTATACAAATCCGGTGGTACACACACCGCAGAAGCAATTGAGTACGCCATCAACAATATATTTACAACCACTAACGGCGCCCGTTTAGGGTCATCAAAGGTACTACTGCACATTTCTAACATCATGTGACTTGAGTAAAATTCTGTACGATCTTTTCATATTGATACATGTAATTAAAATGGGTTTGGTCTAATGTAAGTGGTGTTGACTTTTGATTTGAATAAAATTGAGAATGGAAATGGGGAATGTGTCAAAGAGACAACAACCCGACCATAGAGCAGACAACAGCCGAAGGCCACCAATGGGTCTTCAATGCAGCGAGAAACTCCCGCACCCGGAGGCGTCCTTCAGCTGGCCCCTAAACAAATGTGTATACTAGTTCAGTGATAATGGACGCCATACTAAACTCCAATGTAATACATGTAATATAATAAAATAATCAGTTCCAAATTCTGCCTTTTGCAAAATACTATAAAAAAAATTAATTTATTACAACTCTTTTTGTCTGTTATCGGTCTATTTCGGAGACATGATAAATAAAACGTATTTTTGTTTGGTTATATTAAGTTGTATTGCCGATTCAGTATCCTATGTTTTTTATCACCTAGATATTGATTCTTGTAACTGATGGGCGTTCTGAAAATGGAGTTGAGACTTTAAGACAAGCCAAACTTGCAAAAGCCAAAGGAATATCAATATTTGCTATTGGAGTAACTGCACAGGTCGTCGAGGTAAGTTAAAGGAATATAAGTATTTGCTATAAGAGTAACTGCACAGGTCGTCGAGGTAAGCTTCATCATTACCATCTTTCTGTCTTGTGTCACATAACAATGCAAAACTATTGTCATCTGTTTCCATCTGTCATTATCTGTTTAATTAAATTTTGCTTTACAGTCCAACATCGTTATAAGTTATCATGCAAATGCATTGTCATTTAGCATACCAATTATAAGCCCCTAATTACATGAAACGACAAAAGTGAATCAAAGGCAAACGTTCAAAAGACGTACAAACCTGAAAAGGACTCGGAGGTCTCGTGGTAGCGTTCTCTCTTCGAGTGCGGGAAGTCGTGGGTTCGATCCCCGACCAAATACCCAAAAATTAGTATTTGTTACTTCTCCGTAAGTACGCAGCAGTTTGGAGTAAAATCAATGTCTTGTCGAGCAGGAGTCAGAATAATATGTCAGAATAGAGTGACATGTCTTTCTGCGGATTTTTACCCTGTGAACTCCTGTTCAGCGTGTCGGTTAAGTATAAAGCAGCATTGATATTCATATCACATTAGCATGTTTTCGTCCTGTATATGCATTTGATTTGCTACTAGACGTTAAACAGCCATCCATCATCATCACAAACCTGGACAGCTAAACATATTCAAAAGTTAATTGCTTTTACATAATACAATAGTTAACAAATGTCAAACAATAAACGTATTACCATTGATTATTTTCAGAGAGAATTGAATGCCGTTGCTAGTCAACCTACATGCACACATGTCCAAGTTCTGAATACATTTGCCGACTTAGATTCTCTTAAAGCAGAAATAGAACAGGTGTCATGCAAAGGTAATTGTTTCATTATTGATTTTGTGTATTGTTCAACCAAGGTTTTGTATCAAAAGACACGTCAAAAGTACACACATGTGTAAGGATATCTGACACGTCAAAGGTTCACACATGTGTAAGGATATATGTAGGAACAAGATTAGCAATATAACAAACAGTCCTCAATTATAGTATTCAATAATTAATATCAAATAAATCTCGAAAAAAAACTTAAGGTATAGCATTCGTGGAAAAAAGTTGAAACCTGTTTTCATTACCAATAGTAGGAATAAAGAAACACATAAAACGTTTATGAGCATAAAAAAAGTAATTGATAAAACAGCAAAATCTTGCATGAGTTTTAGTACATGTAATAAATCCATAATTACACTTAGTATCTAAATTTTTCATATTTACATTTGAATCAATGGAACATTAGCTAGTCAATTTTTCGTGGACGGACCGAGACAGGTGGTCGATGGTCGTACTATATGACGACATCATAACTATTAACTGAAACGTATACAGATAATTAAAAATTTCGTTTTAGTAAAATTGATCACAAATATTTTTGAACTTGCAGCGAGGTGAGAGTTTTTCCTCCATAATGAAGGCCTCACTGACTTTGAGATGAAGATCAGCAATAATTGCGCTACATCTTTAGTTTGTTTTTTTTTTTCATGTGCATGTAGTGATTTTGTGTCATAAATACATAATGTGTACAACATATCATTTCCTATCCATTTTATTATTTAAACTTTCCATGTTTGTCAGCAAAGAAAACTAATGTTCAGGTTTTATCTTTTTATATGTATATATATAAAACTGAAACACATATGATAATAAACACTATTAATATTTTGTTCTTTTAGCCCCAGCAGTATTGACGCCAAATAAGTACGTTTACGGATGTAATAGTAATGTTGCTGTTCAAATTCTACCAAATGTACAAGCCGGTACAACTGTCACGGTAAGAATATTAATAACATTAAGTTGAATTAAGATACACACAGCACATCCAATTTATCAGTCCCAAGCCAATAGCCTGTAGTATAGTAGTTTTCGTTGGTTCGTGTTTGTCATATTTGTTTTTCGTAAATTGTTTTGTTATAAAATAGTCCGTTAGTTTTCTCGATTGAATTGTCGGGGCCTTATTCAACCGACTATACGGTATGGGTTTTTCTCATTGTTGAAGTCCGGACGGTGGTCTATAGTTGCTTACTTCCATGCAATTTTAACTCTGGTGGATAGTTGTCTCATTGGCAATCATACTACGTCTCCTCATGTTTATATTAGAACTGCAATATTTCCGGAAGTAGAAAAAATAAATCAATGTGAAATTTATCTTGTGTACTGTCTGTCTTTTCGTCGTTTTTTGTTTTTTGTCATGGCATTGTCAGTTTGTTTTTTGTCATGGCATTGTCAGTTTTTTTTTTGTCATGTCATTGTCAGTTTGTTTTTTGTCATGGCATTGTCAGTTTGTTTATTGCCATGGCATTGTCAGTTTGTTTATTGCCATGGCATTGTCAGTTTGTTTTTTGCCATGGCATTGTCAGTTTGTTTATTGCCATGGCATTGTCAGTTTGTTTTTTGCCATGGCATTGTCAAGTTTGTTTTCAACTTATGAGTTTGAATATTCCTTTGGTATCTTTCCCCTCTCTTTTATTTATCCCTGGGCATTAAGAACGTTTTTGCAATCCAAAAACAAAAATTACATATCTATTTCATATATATACAAGTAAGACTAGTGTTGATAGCAAAATTCTTAAATTCATAAAACTAGCCGCTGAACTCAGGTTAAATGTGGATTTGGATTGGCACCATAAACAAAATACTGCATCAGTTTTGTGTGGACATCGTAATAATATGATTAACTAAACTACTTTTTTTCATTTTAAGGAACAATAATGAGAAAACATTTTTGCTACCCAGGCACTCCAAGATACATGTATATCCAAATTTTCTAGAATTGTTTAATATTAAGAGTTTAAAAACCATATGTATAAAATTGTCATTTTTTTCACAGGTTATGGTTGATGAAGGACAGGTTGATGTGTATGGTTCCCTTGCAACTTCAAATCCTAACGCCATTATCAATGATTTCAATTCCATGGCAACAATCAGTGCATCAACCTCCTTTTATATAAAAGGAGATAAGGCAGTTTCCCTAGCATTTGTCAGCAACAAAGCAATTTCTTGCAAAACAAATTTCACAGTTAATGTTGAGCAAGGAATGATGGCCCATAAAAGTAAGACTTATAAAATTATTGTATAGTTATATTTCAATATATATATTTCAAGATAGTTTTTCCTGAAATCAAAAATTTGGTTGTCTTTAGTAAAGACTTATAAGTGGCGATCGACTCAAGATAGTTGGAAGGCCACATCAAATACGAAGTTTGAAGAGTACGATAGAGAGGTAAACTCACCTTTACTTGTACTGGTTTAACTTGTAGAGTCAATTTTGGAGATGCCTCGGTGGTCGAGTGGTCTAAGTAGTCAAACTACTGAATCACTAGCACTAGCCTGTCAACACTGAGGTTATGAGTTCGAATTCCGCACGTGGCTGGTGCGCTAGATTCCATTCTTAATTGACTAGGATTGTCAGTTTTCCTACCGAAGGTCGGTAGTTCTCTCCGGGCACTCCGACTTCCACCACCAACCAAAACGGACTGCCATGAAATAGCACAATAGTGCTGAAAGAGGCATTAAACGCCAATCAATCAATTTTGGAACCCTATTTAGATCAAACGCTGTGTGTAAATAAAATTTTTTACTTTTAATTGATTCGAGAGAAAAAAATGTTGAAAATCATATTTTCTATGTTTAAAAGGTCATTTAAATCGTCAAAATGACACTGATTACGGAGAGCAGGAAAAATGGGTAGAATAAGTTAATAAGCGCAACTTAATTAAGACCATACATTATTTGTGTGACAGTTTTGCAGTAACCTTATTACATTAGCTTCTGAAATGTCTTGATGGCTGGAAGTTTTTCTGGTTTTTTAAATAAAAAGATTGTGTTATTATTCTAGTCAAATTGCTGGATTTACCAATTTTAAGTTGAATTCACATGATGTGTTGGTTATTTTGACCTTTATATGCACTGCATATAAACTGAACTAATGAGTGTGAAAGATGATTCATTATACCGATAATTAGACCTTTTCAACAATGGTCTATACCTACAGTTGAGAACGACTACGACAGGTGAGATATGAGGGGTCGTCTCAAAAATAAAATTGAAAAAAATATTATTGATGGCATATGATTATTTTGATTGCCAATGATACCACTATCCAACATGACGTGTATATAAGCAATTGTTGTGTACCGTACCTTATTTTGTTTATTAGGTATTTGTTTATCAAAACTAAATTTATTTGTGAATTGACTATGAAGAAAAGGAAGGACTTCAATGTTTCATTTCTTTTAGACGTCGAGTTGAAAAATGAAAAAAAAAACCTGTATTTTTGTAGTAGATGTTTAATTAATCAATGATTTATATCTGTTGACTTGGGCGGTACATGTTTCTACAATGTCTGTTAATTTTGGCTTCCAATGTCTCAATGGTACTCATAAAAAAATAGATACCAAGATTTTTAAAGGCCCTTGGCGTCTCTTCTGATTCAGATTCAGATTCAAATCGTAAGCTTTTTTTTTCGTTCTCTTGCTATTTTTATGACTTCTGCAGTAGAAAAAAAACACACAATGCAACATATAAAACAGACATTGAGTTACCGCATAGTCTGCATTTTGGTTAAAGACCCCAATCTTCCCCCCTACCCCCCCCCCCCCCCCCCCCAAAAAAAAGGAAACAAAGTTACTATCTTTGATCGAAAAAAAAGGAAATAAATATGAGAGCGAAGCATGATGTCAAAATATCAAATTGTAAACTAAATATTCTATTGTGACAAAAACTTACCAATTGCAATGACCAACTTGTTTATGAATTGTTTCAGGCGCATAAAACATGCGGCGGGGTTTCACTAGTATAATTGGGATCTTAAATCTCCCCTATGTATGGTCAGAGATGAAATTTATAAACCTTTATGCATGGAAAAAATAGAAAAGAGTAGAAAACCAAAGCTATGTCCTGAAAAGGGGAAAGGTAAGCAGTTCTCGCTTCTTGCAAGATGCACGAAGGTCATTTTTCAGGAACAGGGAAAGGAAAGGAAAGGAATCTACGACAGGGGAAAAGGTATGTTCACGTCTTTCGGGACACGGAAAACCTATAAAGGTCAATCAGTTCGGCGCTGTCAAAAAGACACTGCAATGACAACAAGCTCTGTTGGGATATAAATACCATACGCATCACTGAAGAGATATTAATTGTAAAAATGCGCATGTGGCGCAGAAAAAAATGGTGCCGTTAATAATTCCAGTTCATTAAGGAAACATCTCAATTTTAACATGGTATCTTAAAGCGGAGTAGTCTCTCGTAACTAAATTATCGATGTGGCCTTTTCCTTAGACCTTAAAACAAATAGGCTTTTACCCCTCCCAAAATTGAATGTGTACAACAAGTGACGTGAAGAACGGTTGAGAAACACAACTCGAGCGGACGGACGGTAGTCCTGTTACAATGTTCCTTCAGCAAATTTCATAAATAGCATTACGAAAGAGAATTAATCGCAATTGGCATGTGGAACAATCTGCGTTGACAGACTCGCTTATCTAAATACTCGCATAATCATGAAATTTAAGAAGAAAAAAGGCAGATTATGTGAATTGATTGCAGTAATTATATACTTGAAGGTTTAATATAAATTCAACGTAAAATGTCGTATAACTACATATAATAAATATGCTATACAAAAGAGAGAGATATAGTTCATATTTGTTAGAAATATGTTCTTTCGTCAAAATAGTGTAAAACGATAAATCGAAGGTGTAAAAGTAATACTATTCATGATTGATTTTTAGTTTTGAGACGACCCCTTCATTTTACCTGTAAACTGTAGGTGTCATTAGTCGGTGTCGAGAGTTATTGAAAAGGTCTATTAAATACCGTATACATCTAACAGATATCTGTACAAAAATACTTTTTGAAAATTGTGGAACCAATTCTGTTGCTTACTAACCATTCTTTCCGTCAAAATCAGAAGAATTTCGGTTTGAAACAACAGTAAGCATCTAAATTTGATCTGCAGACATAAAACTGTAAGATGAATATGCAATACTGTTATTCAAAAATATTTTAGAATGACTCTGCTGTTGAAATAAATACTGTGGAAGTCGGCCTTATTTTTTGTAACATAAATACGAAATACGAAATACAAGTCTGAAACTATTAGATTGGACCTTTTTTCAGATGTTCACTTACTATGCATAGAGGATAACATCATACAGAACTGTACAGCTGAAACATTACAGAAAAGTCCTTTCCTCATTGTTCCACCAGGTAAGTTACACGAGGGGGTTTACAGAATAGAGAAAAATGGGCAAAAAATATAGAGAATAGAGAAAAATGGACCCAAAAAAAATAAAGAATATAGAATAATGTGGTGCTTAAATATAAAGAATAGAGAATTATGGGCAAACAGTATAAAATGTAAAGAAAATGGCCTAAAAAATTAAAGAATACAGAAATGAGGGACCCTATTACATGTGTAGTAGAGGGGTTATCGTTAGGAACAGGACATTTTGTTCGATGGGTCAACAGAAAACTGTTGTATTGTCCATTCAAACATTTAAATGTGGACCGACTTCGATTCATTTAATTTATTTTATCTCTTTATTGGAAAAGCGCTTTACGCCCATATGGACCAATGGCTTACAAACATACACATATATTTATAGCAAACAATGAAAGTAAACAATACATACACATCTTACAATTTTTATGGGGTTTTATCTCTCTCTTTTAATAAGTATAAATTGCAGCCCTTTAAGTTGCAAACTTTTTCATACAGAAGAAAAGAAAACTTCTAGACACTGCACCAAATAGTAATCGGGTAACATCATACCATATTTTTCAGCCTAAATTAAATCGATTTGCATGAAGTAATATTCATGTATTCATAAATCTTTGACTGATCTTATTATGGATAAATGTTTATCCAGAAAAGCGCTTCGAGTTAACGATGTTGGTATTTTTACATAATATAAACCGCTATTGATTTGAAATGAAATTCGCATTTGATATTGAAGGAATATTAAAAATTATTTTGTGTAGTATAGGTTATATTTTGTAGTAGTTTAGTAAATAAAGAATTGAATTGGAGATTGTTGAACTTTTAGTTTTCCTCTTTTCATTTGTTTACCCTTTTATTAAAAGATATACTATGATAAGTTTGTGAAATATAACAAGAATTTACTTCATCCTTAATCTGTTTAATATGCCCTTTGTTTGTTTTTAGGAAGGAACAACTACCTAGGTTTATGCAATGCCATACCAGAGTTCTTTGTCTTCCCAGAAAGAAATGATAGATTTATATTCTGTGATGGTCAAGGTCACTATTTTATTGTTCTTTGTCCTTTGGATTCTATCTTTGACTCCAATGTTCTACGTTGTATTCCCGGAAGACTCCTGTTGACTCCTATAACAACTACATCTATGCCACTGACGTCAACTCTTACCCCCGTACCAACCACGGCAGTTCCTACTGGTGAGTACAAAACATACCAAACCAAAATAATATGTAAAATATTGTGTATTTCTTCCTATAACGAGCCAGTTGTTGATTGAAATAAGGGAGAAGATACCGAATTGGACAACCAAAAACCATAATTTAAAGGAAAACATAGAGATAATATCATGACCAAAACGAAAAACGATGAAAAGACAAAAAACAGTCCAATATACACTTCACACAAATCTAAATTGAGCGACTCCAATCCTAGTCCGAGATTGCTCTGAAGTCTGATTGCCTTTTTGGATGTTGGGCGTCAGAGCTCATAGTTCAAGGGGGCGGCAACTTTCAAATAGATAAATCATACATCATTATATTCCTTATTTATTTTACTCCACGAATGTGTAACTTTTCTTAACGTATAACACCACTCGCCCGTAATACAAACGAAAGCTTTCTTTCCATCAACAGTCTATTGTTTCAAAAGTAGCAGCCGTTGTGTTGCTCATGGCAAGGAAAAATATAAATGTACATTATGTAACAGTTGACATGCAGCATACGTCGTTCGTTTCCATTGTTAGATTCTGAGTCTTAATCAATTTCTCTTGTTCTGTTTACAAATATATGGTACACAATTTCCCTGCATTCAGAACAGTTTCTTGCATATTTTAACTTGATGTACAAGAGATACATACATCAATTTCATGAATCACAGTCTTGGAAAAAAAGACATATTCATATCCAATATTGGTCAAATTTTTATCTATCAAAATTGTTTACTGAATTTTTATTTATTAATTTTGATGCTTAAACAACTTGTTAGATTTTCGAGATTTTTTAAAATATTAATTATAGCAAGAATTTACACGGACGTTACATGGTTTATACCAATTTGCAATTTATTGTATTGCAGGTGTTGTAGTGCCAACTGGTACCCCAAAGAACCCATGCACACCACAGAATCTTGCGCTCGGCCTATACTTTTTCGAATACCCAGGAAACAACCAGCTGTTTATTGAGTGTTACAATCTCCCTTACGTAGCCGTGGTTAAGAGTTGTGACGTACACCATTATTGGGACCAGAGGACCTTGACCTGCCTATACAGACAAGTCGTCGTGGATCCTACAAAGGGCGTTTACAGTGGTGGCAGTAATCCATGCAATACTATTCCAAATCTCTTCTATTATCCATTGCCTGAAAAAACAAAATACATTCATTGCGATGATTTCGGAGATGCATTCGAGAAGACCTGCCCTAACAACTTTATCTGGAGTCAACCAATTTTACAATGTATTCCTAGAGGCGTGATATTCAGTGCCCCACCACCTGTTGGAAAGTAACAGAAATATACTCATAATATATATAAACACTTTTTACATGACTCCTGATAAATAGTTAAACATTAAATTTGAAGAAAATCGTAAATATTCATATTTAATATATGAATGTCAATTCATACATGTTGTGATTGTGTTTACAAAGAGATGTAAACAGAATGAATTGTGCATTTTGTTTTGAAAGAATAAAAATTGTATATAAACTTTTCTGAAGAATCACACTAAATTGTTATAAGTTTTAGATATTTTGCAAAGGTGTATCAAGGGACGTTTGCAAATCTACATTATCCTTACAAAATTGGAATTTTGTTATTTGTTATGATTACAATAACCGTTTCACTCCAGAATATCCAGAGACACGTGCTTGTTTGCACGTGCAAAAGACATATTGATAATATATAATTACGACTTTAAACCAAAAAGCAAAACATATAATGAAAAAGACCAACCAAACAAAATTAAAACAAATCAAACTTTAATGATCCCCTTGTATTTTCTGTCATACATGTAACATTGACAAGTAATGGACAAAGTAAATTCTCCAATAGAAGTCCTAGATGTCCAACATGAGTGGATGTTTGAAATTTATCTTGCACGAATTATATTGAATAATGTTACTATGAATTTGACACATTGAGAGTAAGACGAGAATTTGAATTATCAATCTAGGCGAAGTTCCAAGAAAAGTCACCAGACGCGCGTTTCGTCTACAAAAGACTCATCAGTGACACTCGAAATAAAAAAAAGTTATAAAGCCAAGTGGACGAAGCAGTGGTTTTCTTCATCGGCAGATTAGATATTTTGAGTTAGCTTTCAGTAACTACGGGAATTTTCTACACTGTATTAGTTTGTCTAACTTAAACTTGTATCAGTCGTTTGAAGTACAAATATTATTGAGCTGAGTTTTTTCTCAACTTTTTATATTGTGTATTTTCTTTCTTCATTTTTTTCCACCGACAGGCTTGAAATGGAAGACTCGGTATTAAAAAAATAGTTTATACCCAACAACTGTTAATGTGCTAGTCTGAATCCAGGAACTTTGTCAGTGGTTGCCCTTGTTTATACCTGTTTGTCCTTACAGAAATGTTTTTTTCTTGACAGATCCTTGGAATCTTTGGAAATACTCATAACCTGGTAAAAGTACATACAATGTATATGGGTAAAGTTTACGTCAATGAGTTTACTTAAGCAACAGTACAACACAAAAAAAAACTAAAAGATATAACTTTACGTGTAAAAAAACACAAAGAAAACCAGCTGAATGTGTCTGTAATAATTGATTTAAATTCCTCTTATAAGCAAAGCAACCACTGAAAACAATTAAAATTCTAACGCAACATCGTTTGTAACGTTCATTTTGATTGGATAACGTCACCAATTTGCATGGCATCAATTCAAAATTGATGCTATGAAAACGTACGTGCAAGCGCAGACGACGTATGACAAATTTTAAATGTATAATTTGACGTTGTTTTCTGTCAGTTTCATTAGAATGGAGATAACAATATTGTATGTTAAGCTCCGACGTCATCAATTGGTGAAATTCACATAAGATCATGGTAAACTTATCAATCCCTTAGATAAACTAATTCTAAGAGGTTACCAATTCAACACTGTAACTTGATCTTTGAATATTGTTTTATTGGTTTTGATTTTGTTATCAGTAAATTAAAATCATACTAAATGGTTTTGTTATACACATATGCACTTAAACGGTACTTCAATCTGTTGATACCTTTATTTTGGCATTGCACAAGGTCATATTTTTCTCTGACTGTTACTGACGTCTTTACACTAAATCCATTGGATGTTGGATGTGTACTGATTGATATTTTAGTCTTAGATACATGATTTTTTTTATTAGTTGTTATTGGCTTTGAACTAGCTGTCAGTAACTGTACTTAAGTGTTTTGTTGTTAGGGATGAGGGATGGATAAATACACTGACACGTCCATTCTGTGTTTATGTTTGATGTTTTTCTGCTTTGTATCTATCTGATGAGTTGAGCCTTTTTCAACTGATTGTTATAGTTTGTTCTTATGTTGTGCTGTTACACTATTGTCCCAGGTTAGGGGAGGGTTGAGCGCTCACAAACATGTTTAACCCAGCCACATTCTGTATGTGCCTGTCTCAAGTCAGGAGCTTGTAGTTCAGTGGCTGTCGTTGGTTCATGTCTGTCATATTTGTTTTTCGTTAATTGTTTAATTATAAATTAGGCCGTTAGTTTTCTCGGTTGAATTGTTTCATATTTTTCATGTCGGGGCTTTTATAGCCATCTATATGGTATGGGTTTTTCTCATTGTTGAAGGCCGTACGGTTACCTATAATTGCTTACATCCACTCTATTTGAACTTTGGTGGATAGTTGTCTCATTGGCAATCATACCTCATGTCCTTAATTTTATATAGTAGGGTTGAGCACTGATAAAGATATTGCCCCTTCTCCACCTAACAATTTCTTTAAGTGTCTGTCCCAAGTCAGGAGCCTGCGAGTCAGTGGTAGTCGTTGGTTGCTGTCTGTAATCATTATTTTTAGTTTATTGTTTTAGCCTAAACCAGACATTGGTTTTTCTCATTTTATTTGTTTTAAACATTTGTTCATGACGTTGTCTTTTATAGATTGCTATAGAGCATGTGTTTTGCTCATTTTTGAAGATCAATAGTACTGTAGCTTACATCTACGTTATTTGGTATTTAGTGTATAGTTGTCTCATTTGCAATTATACCGCAAGTCCTTATTTTTGCTCACCTGACCAAAAGAAAGACAAACATTACACTTTAAACGACAAGGCCGAAATCGTTGGTCGACTCCTTAAAATAGTTATTTTTTATTATAGTTGATGATTTTTACCAACTTTTTTTTCTTTTTAATTTTGAAAACTATAATAGGCAAAGAGAAACTTTTCATTGCAAAAATAATCAGCGGAACAAGATCTATACGATTAGCAAAACAATGTCTACAATGTCTACAAATAGTTCAACAAAGGCAAAAATTTGAAGTAAACTGCTAGGATAGAAGAATCGTCAGATGTTAATTGAGAGTTTATTGACAAACATATTATACCTATGAAAAAGAATGAAAGTCCATCAACACACCTGCCTCTTTTATTAATCAAACTTTACGCAGGGAAATATATGTTAAAAAGGATGACATATAACTAATATAAAAATTATAAAAATAAAGCAAATTGGAAATCTTATAGAAAACAAACAAATTCGGTTACTAAAATAAAAAAGAAATCCATCAGAAACTATTTCATGGAAAGATGTGTATGAGGCCAAGGATTTATGGCCAACAATCAAGTCCTTCTTAACCAATAAAGGGTCGCATTCTTCAAAAGATCTATTCTTATGTGAAGACAACAAAATAATTAATAATCAAAATGAAGTTGCTGAAATATTTAATAACTTTTTTATAAATGTTGCCAAAGTTTAATGCTTTGTTTTCAGCTTGATATATTTTTTTGTTAACTTATAGTGCTTCTGCTATTTTGTGCCTATTTTAGTTACTTCCGGTGGTATGGGAGTATAAATGAAAAATGATAGATTTGTTTCATACTTTGCCAAACGTGTAGTATATATTGTGATATATTAAAAAATATAATAAAAATGATTGTTCACCGTGTTTTTTTTTTTTTTTTCAAGCATCAGGTTGTTAAAAAAGACACATTTTGTATGGATTATACAGGAAAAAACATCATTATGTGAATAGAAGGTAAACTAAATGATAAAATTGTGAAATAAAATACGAGAAGATAGCTCTTAGAAAAATCCTTTCAGAATATTTAAAGAAAAGATAGGGTCACAATACGTTTTTTTTTCCTGCAATAATATGAAATAGAAAAATTTCATGCAAATTCCTTTTGAAATTCTACTGTTTCAGAGTTACCTTCCCTAAATACGATAATTTGAAAAAAAATGAAAATCAATCAAAAATAATCTATGTATGTACAAGTGTTGGTTATAATAAGTTAAAATCCTACAAATTTGTTCATTTGAATAAAAATTCACATTAGTTAATTGCTTTCCTGCATCAAATTTTGCTGACTTGATTGACAATCTGGACCTATTGTGTTCTGCTATTTTTACAATCCAAGATAGCGAAAGACACCCATACTACCTGAACTAGTCTCTATGTTCTTTTTTTATGTTGTAAACCCTTTTACCTTTGCTTTTGTGTTTACCCCATAAGTGCATGCTTCAGTGTGTGTGTGTGTGTGTGTGTGTGTGTGTGTGTGTGTGTGAGGGTGTGTGTGTGTGTGTATAAGCTGCTTGATAGAACTTTTGTGTTGTGTGTTTGCATTATATGAACTCTTGCTTTCTATGTTTATTTGCATGTTTGCATGACTTGATATGCATGTTTTGTTTGTTGTGCTTTTTGTCGGTTTAAAAAGTTCTTCAGAGCTTGTGTTTGTAATAGTATTGACTTTAGATAAAGCATAATTATGTGTTAAGTCTAAATTTTTTGATTATGACTAAAACTTGCCTAAATCTACCAAACTGCAGTTTTGAACTTTCTTCGGCATTTACATTTTGGTATCATTTTTAGAAGTACTCCCTTATTTTGCTGTGATTTTAGTGAAGTTTGGAAGACTTTTTAAAAATGAATGATGTGAAATAAATTCAAAAGATTTTTGCCCAACTTAATTGGTAAACTTGCAATGGTTTACTAAACAAATTCAAAGGGAGCTTACGCAACCTTTTTCCAATCGCGGTCGGTCCACTTTATCAGATCTTCTTTTGCATAGTTTACATGTTAAAGAATTTCCATTTTAATTTAAGGAGTAAATTTAAGATTCTTAAGTTTTTGCTCATTTTCCATATTTTACCTTGGACTAATATCTACTGTACTGATTCCATGTTTTACCTGGTACTATTATACTACTTATTATCTAGGGTCAATATTTTGAAGCCACTCCTTTTAATTTGCATTTTACAAATCAATAAATATTGGCATAGCTTTATCGCAGTCATAATTGGTACAGTATGTGATTTCAAAACTTGAAAAACTCCATGGATTTTTTTTTAATCTGGACAGAAGCTTCTTCGTAATCAAGAGAGAATGCCATGAGCAAAATTTAGACTTTTCTTATTTATTTGCTATATTTTATTGATAAATGGACTCGGGTTTTTGTCAGTCAACACTAAACTTTTGCGCTGACAACAGTAGTTGCGGGTGAGACACTTATTCTACTGAACGCTTTGCAATCTGTTTTCAATCTGTATTGAAATTTATAAAATGAAAGTATTATAAGCATAGTTTTTAAGTTCTAACAATATTTTGGTTCATTTGTACATGTATACACATTACTAAATTATAAATGCTAATAGATAGCCCAAAACTTTTTAATTTGTCAAATTTCTAGATTTTATCTCAAATATGTTTAAAAGGGACATTCTTTACAATAACTAATGTTGGAAAAAAGGGCTTGCTGACATGGCCTCTTTAGTAAAATCCAAGATGTTTCGGAATTCGGCACGACACAAATGTTTCCGCATACAACCTTGTCGAGAAGGTTAACTTGCAAATCCGCCAAAAAATTGGCCAACTAACCACAAACTAGGTTTAACCCTTATCATATGTACAGCATCTGCAGGCACTACAAAAGAAGATTGTCGTGCAATTTTCAAAGTTTAATTTTAAATTTGCGGTCAAATTTAAGGCCGAAATTCTGCCAAAAGTCGGTCACCAGAAGCGAAATGCAAACTTGATCTGTAAATCCTCATTATATTCACTAATGTTCCAAAAAATCGAATCAATATGTGCAGGCATAATGAAAAAATGTACGTAAAACTGTGTGATTTCAGAAGGACGTATCGAATGACGGAAGGACGGAAAGGCGGAATTATTTTAATAAAAGAAAATTTGGCATGATTGTAAATGAGACAACTCTCGATCAGATATGCCATAATAATAACAATAATAATAATGTTTTAGAATTTCGATCGAAATGGGCGAAATGTTTGCATGAACTATCCAGGAAGTATACCAAAACATTTCAAACTAAACTTTGTATCATTACAATCTCATATCAACGGTTGTGTAAATATTGATTAAGAATTAAAAAAAAAAATGATTATCAATATTAAATTTATAAACACTATACATCAAGTGTTATCTCCTGCGTCAAATATTCTTACCAACAAACTAGAAATCGCAATAGTCAGAATAGGTTACAAATGAATAGAAATAAATGCAAATTTCAGACAACAATTGGGCATCTTATGCCTCAAGGTGAACTTTCATATGGACAAACTACAGAAATACTTGAATAGATGTATATTGAATATAACCGTAATCAACGTCAAAGTTGGAATATAAAATAAGGAGATGTGGTATGATTGTCAATGTGAAAACTATCCAAAAGAGTCCAAACGACTCTTATATACATGATTTTTTATTAGTTGGTGTTGGCTATGAACTAGCTGTCAGTAGCTGCGAGTTTTCTACGATCTGTACTTCGTGTTTTTTTTTCTTTTTTTAGGGATGTATAAATACAATGCACGTCCGATCTGTGTTTTTGTTTGATGTTTTCTGCTTTGTATCGATCTGATAAGTTAAGACGTTTTTCAATGATTTTTATAGTTTGTTCTTATGTTGTACTGTAACATCACTGTCCCAGGTTAGGGGAGGGTTGGCGCCTTCAAACGTGTTTAACCCCGCCACATTCTATATGTGCCTGACCTAAGTCAGGAGCCTGTATTGAGTGGTTGTCGTTGGTTCATGTCTGTCATATATAAAAAAGAAGATGTGGTATGATTGCAAATGAGACAACTCTCCACAAGAGACCAAATGACATAGACATTAACAACTATAGGTCACCGTACGGCCTGCAACAATGAGCAAAGCCCATACCGCACAGTCTACTATAAAAGGCCCCGAAATGACATTGTAAAACTATTCAAACGAGAAAACTAACGGAATAATTTATGTACAAAAAATGAACGAAAAACAAAAATGTAACACATGAACAAACGACAACCACTGAATTACAGGCTCCTGACTTGGGATAGGCACATATATACAGAATGTGGCGGGATTAAACATGTTAGTGGGATCCTAACCCTCCCCCTAACCTGGGACAGGCACATATATACAGAATGTGGCGGGATTAAACATGTTAGCGGGATCCTAACGCTCCCCCTAACCTGGGACAGTGGTGTAACAGTACAACATAAGAACGAACAATACAAATCAGTTGAAAGAGGCTTAACTCATCAGATGGATAAAAATACAAATAATACAAATACAAGTGGACGTGGCCGGGTACTTGTACATCCAAACAACAAAAAGACACTAAGTACAGATCTGAGAGTACTGGCAGTTACTGACAGCTAGTTCAAAGCCACTAACAACTAATAAAAAAAAAATATATGTTTTTCTTAAATAGTTGTGTTATAAATTAGGCCGTTAGTTTTCTCAATTGAATTTTTTTCTTACTTTATCATGTCGGGGCCTTTTATTGCCGACTATACGGTATGGTTTTTCTCATTGCTGAAGGCCGTACTGAGGCCTATAATTGCTTACATCCACTTCATTTGAACTTTGGTGGATAGATGTCTCATGGGCAATCATTCCACATCTCCTTATTTTTATAATGAAGCAGGTGTAAGTAACTATAAGTCACCGTATATCTTTTAAATGTTATGTTTGTCGCACTTTTACGAATTTAACAAATACGACTTCATCGAAGAACAGACATTCTACGGAAAAATGCATCTGTTCAGACAATAATAATTTCAACAATTAAGTGCATGTATCGTCTTTTTCCCCCCGAAAGGTATCATTTTTGAATATTGTTTTTTCATGTAAAGAAGGTAACCCTGGACAGGGACATGACAATTTTTTATGGTCCTAACATATTTTTTTATGAATCCCTTATAGTAGATCCCTTTATTTGTATAGGGTGTAAATACAGTTTAACTGTCAAAATATTGTGATTGGTCTTAGTCTGTGAACTACAATATTCGGGAGGTGATACTAGATTGTTTACTTTGCAAATAATCTATACAAATATAAACGATAAATGTTTGATATCACGTATAGTTCTATTTCCTGACCCTGATCTTTTGAATAAGAATGTCATCCTCGGCGTATATTGTAGCATTCATAGCAATTTCTTTATATTATTTTAAATGTTATCAAACAAACTTGCCTCCTGCTTATGAAGGAATATTTTTACCAGAATTCCGTCCAGTCGCTGAGTTGTTCAGGTATGTCGCAGTTTGTTTCTAAACATTTTCAAATATATATTTGATTCGATTTACTATTTCGATTTTGATTTAAATATTTGACAAATAAGGAAATTATACCCTTTGTATCTTGTCCCGTTTTTTCATATTTTATTATTGGTATCCATGTAGCAAGATGTTTGTTAGAAAATCTTTCTTATCGGATATTTAAATTTATCCTGATGAATATCAAAGATATCTGACTTAAATCACGTTAAAATATGTCAAGAAATTTTATGAATATTACATAAAATGGTTGTGTTTACACCATTCAACGTCCAAACTCCTTGCTCCTGTACAAGGGATATCGAATAATAAAAACTGTTTTCATCTCGACTAGAGTCTCGTTGTCTTTTTTTTCTTTCGGTAAATGGGATTAATGAGAACAAATTTAAAATGCAGTAAAATTATTGGATACATAACGACAAATGGTTTTTGGAAAACGATGGAAATAACACATTTGAACTATTGCGTAATGTGACCTCTGTATTGTATCAAGAATTTGTGGCTTTAGTTTCGGAGAAACATAAGATGTTCTTGGAGCATGCTCTTAGATTTACAGTTGACAGACTTTACCAATTGAAGGAATGATGCCAGGGGAACGCCCTAAAATCAGTCTAATAAAAGTGAGGTAAAAGATGCACAGTTATGCTTTATTTAATCTAATTCTGTAAATTTTCTTTGAATTTCTTTATAAACTGAAGTGGAGAAAAAATTTGTGTTACAACCGTTTGTGTAGAACAGACGGACAGACAGAAGTAATTAATATACCCCAAAATTGATTTTTCTTTAGATCACAGGTTGAAAGTGGGCAGGAAATAGGAGGAACATTTGCAGTTTACTATAAAGGACGTCTCGTAGTTGACCTCTGGGGAGGATATGCAGACAGGCAATACGATCTGCAAAAATGGAGGAACGACACTTTACCAATAACATTTTCAACAACAAAAGGAATGGTGTCTATTCTGGCAGCAAAGATGGTAGATCAGTGAGTGGGACATCATTATATGTGTTAATCATAATTATTATCATATCATTACTGTTTAATGTTTGTTTTTTTTATCTTTTTTTTTATCTGGTGGAGGGGTTCTAAAAAATATGATGTCTTGTATTGGGTTAAGATTTAAATTGATTTTAACTGGAGTTAATGAAAATTTCTATTTTTAGTACAGTATTTGGCGAGGGGATGTAAATTTACGTTTATGTGGTCCTTTTTATGACTTTTTCCTCATTACCGACACCTTTGAAACGAATTATTATAGATTGGAATCAATACGCAAGCTTTTACCAAGTCTTAACCTACACAATCAAAAGAACAGTTATTACATTTTGTCTATCATGAGTAACCCATAAACACATAAAACACACAAAAGAGGATAACACATGATGTAACAATGAGGTTTTTTAAGCATTATTTTCGATTAAGGAAAAAATCAACTCTATGTTTGTATTGCGATACGTCTATATATCTACAGGAAATTACTAGACTATAATAAACTCGTGTCCCACTATTGGCCTGGATTTGGTTGCAATGGGAAAGAAAATGTCACAGTAGAAATGTTGCTTCATCACGCGGTACGTATACTTGTATCTTGTTTTCTGTTGTCGTCTGCTGATTGCACATTTTCCAAAAAAAATTCTATCGGTTTCACCCGTTGTTTTTTCGCAGTAGTTTTATAATTGGCACCATTAACCAGTAAATTATAGCAAATGACATCGTTATGATAAGACGAATTAGATTTGGTTAAATAAATGAACCTATTTTGTCATTTCATCGTTCAAAATAATAATATTGTCCTAATTTAATGTATGTCGAGGAGTACCGGAATGAGTGGGTTTAATATTGCAAGAATTTCTGATTCTATTCTATAAAATGATTCAGTAAATATGAATACTTTAAGTTATTTCTTACATCTGTGATTTTTAGTCCTTTCTGCAACATTTGGATATACAAATACAATTGTATTGCCCATCGAACGTGAATTTCATCATGCTATGTATATTCTTTTCACAATTGTTTCTATTACGGAGAAACAAAAGATAACTGTAAAATTCGCCTACATAATAATCTTCATACACTATTTTCTCTAAATAATTCCTTAAAATTATAAATTTTTATTGAAGGCAGGCCTTGCTTATCTGAACAATCCATTCAGTATGCTTGAGTTGCATCATAATCCACTGAAGGCCGAAAAAAGTTTGGAAAAAGAACCGCCTAAATGGCCACCAGGTGAGCTACGAACGGAAATACAAACACACGCCTAAGATTACCTAATTAAAGTTATTAACGTGATGTCAGATTTAGAAATGCACAAACATTGCACGCCTGGTGATGAAATTGCATTTTATGTCCGTCTAATGAAATAATAATTGGGTTAAACCAACAAAGACATGTTTTTTTAAATATGTTTACCTTTACAATTCATATGTCAACAGTTATTTAAATCCACTCATGTTTAATATATACCTCCAAATTCCCTTTACCAATGGGCATTGATGTAATACAAGATAAAAAAATGTATAAATGAAAACAATCAATTCGATCGAAAAAGACCCACATCACCGGATTAGATATTGTTACTAAAAAATTCCAATGATCTGTTAGAGTACATACAGTTTAAGTCTCTTTCCTCTTGCAATAGTATGCAATCATTTGACTTTTCTCTAACAGATAAATTGAAAGAATTGGTCCTGCTTTGTCTAATAAAAAAATGGCCAACGTAGATAAAAGTATCTGGTCTTAGGGAGGGATAAATCCTACTTTGAAAAAATCACTCTTATTCAAACAAAACATTCTCTGAAACACACTTTTATAAGATGATTGATTTCTTAATTGACACATTATTTGTTACAATGTATGTTTTGAGGACGTGTTTCTCAACAAACATTCGGAACCAATTGCAAGATTCGATACGAACAATGTTGCTCAATTGAGTTTTTGTTTAGATTACTCTTCAGTCAACGAACCACAAAGCATCGTTCTAGCATGTTAGATTTCTAAATAAGTTCGAAAAGCATTTATAAGGAAATTCTGATTGATATAGACTTAACGGATTCAATTTATGATATATACTTCATGAATTTGATTAAAATTTGTGAATCCTCTTCACACTTGCTAAAATTTTGTTTAGACCTTTTTTTAATTTTTAAGGCTCTGAAGTAATGACCAGTGCTGGCTTTTAAAACTTTTGGACTCATGTGTACCTGGTGAACGTATTGTCATTTATATTATATGTATTTCGATACCATGTGCCTTGCATGCGCATGCGTGCACTGTATCCTGTCTGTAAAAAAATGTATAATTCCATCGATTTTGCAGTGGAACTATTTTTGTAAGATATGTAAATGTATTTACAATACGTCAATTGAAATATTTGTATCTAATACAACTTAATACACACTAACATTTCAAGTCATAATTTTCATATTTCAGGTACTGCCACAGCATATCACGCATTAACTTTTGGTGCTTATGTAGACCGTTTATTGACAAAGGCAGATCCAAAACATCGTCGAATAGATCAGTTGTTTGAGGAAGAAATATCTCAGCCCTTCGGTAAGAAAATGTAAATGTATCTACCACATTGATTGCATAAATAAAAAAAACATTACTTGGGCGTTGGTGCTCCTTTTATCTCATGTCCCATCTAGAATTACCGTGTGTGTTATTTTTCTTTACACCATTATTTTCTAATTACTTCCTCATTTCATTAATATCATTCTTTAAAAAGATTTGACGATAAAATTTTGTTTCTTTATTTATGTTTAGAACACAAACATGCATGGTGGTCGCAATGATGTTTACATTTCGATTCTCAACATGCCGGATAACGTTCTTATTTTTCAGAAACATATTTGTCTTGCTCATGGAAATTGGTATCACAAGGTTGAATCAAGTAATACAAGTCATAACATTACCGGTACCAATTTTACTAAACCGGATGCGCATTTATCTGCAGTACGTGATGATCGAAGCCAATAAATTTAAGAGACAAAAACCTAATGGAAACGTTGAAGGGCTAATTAAGGTTGTACCAAATACCTTGACTAAATTTAATTTGGCTCGTTTAATTTTCATAAAATTTTGACAAAATATTTACTTTGACCCTTTGACAAAAATATAAAAATTTCAAAAAACTTGAACCACACACATTTCGGAAAAGTTTCATTTGATAGATAGCAGTTTGACAAACACTAATTTTGATCATTGAGAAGCTAAATATTTCCTTAACAATAGAACGTGATTAAAACTTTTAGCTGATTTTTACACAGGTATTTCCCTGTTGTGTTATGTACCACCTTAAACCAAAAAAAAAACTCCAAAAAAAAGAAAGGTTGACCCGAAACATAAACCAACAAGGAATTAGAACTATGCACGAGGGAGATAAATTCCTTAATTTAATATTATTTCAAAATTTTATTACAGCAATTTAAACAATCAAACAATTGTCATTTGATATTAGAAAACGTGTCTTATCTAAATCCTTATAAGTTTAAGTTAGATGCTAAACAATATTATAGATATAAATAACTAAATAAAAGCCCAACAATGTTAGATCTGTTAATTTGCGGAAGCAAATTTTTTGTTCTTCCCTGGCCGGGATTCGAACTCATGCTACTGAGATATCGTGGCACCAAATCGCCTTGCACTATGCCCGACGCGCTAGACCACTCGACCACTTTGGCTCGACTATATATTTATAATTAATCTAAATATCAGCACAACAATGTTAAATCTGCAAATTTTTGTTCTTCCCTCTGAAACTAAAACTGATTGAACGAAACAGAAGACGAGACTTACAGGAGATAGAGATGACAAAGTTATATTCCATAATGGTTAACCAAATCATGATGGCCTCCATAACACTTTCGACGGGATGATTTAAACTTTTTGTTCAATAGCTTCCTTATAAGCAGCAACCATATATCAAGGAAATCATAATAGTAATATCAAGCTCTGAAATCTCATATCAAATGGGAGATATATAGCCCATATGCAGGCTATGTTGGCATGGTGCTACTTAGAAATATAAGTCCACCATTGGAAAGCTAAAATCTTACTGCTTGGCGAAAAAGTTGTTCTCAACCCAAGCTTATTGTCAATTAATAGATGTAATTCAAAATATGAGGCTGACTTAACTGTACCTGTGGTATCCTTTATTTCCAATGCGATGGACAAGATGCGTTTAACAAGGCGACCAAACTTTCAATTATTAAGTGACAGGACATCTGACCAAACTTTCAATTATTAAGTGACAGGACATCTATATAGCGGAACGTGAAGTTAAAGGATAATGCTAGATTCTTTCAATTTTTCATGAGAAGCTCCTGTGTGAATTTTGCCTCGTTTGAAAAAAGGATCAAGTCATCAAGAAGAACACAGTTCGTTCCCATAGGAATACCGATTGTCTGTAAAATAACACACCCTCCAAATGTAGCAAATATATTGTCAATCAGAGATGTGAAAGTGTATCTAATCTAACCTGTTGTATGTTCAAACCACTTGAATAATCATTGAATAGAAAAAACGTCATTATCTAACGGTTTATCTTTCTTATAGATTAAGGTTAATGCTTGTTTTTTTTTTTCATTCTTTGAGTTGCCTCTGCCTTATGCGAAAGAAAGGAACAATACGCCGATAACAGAACCCAACTAGTTGCATTAAGACTGTAGATCTTCTGTTGAATAAACGTGCACATTAAATATAATAAATATGTTATGATAAATCGTATATGCTGTCTGAAAAAGCTTTATAGGAAAACCAGTATTTTTATATGAAATCTGAAATGATAAATCTTTGGAAATCACTTGAAATTAAGAAATGTATTTACCTCTTGTATAGCTCTGACACCTTGTTACCGTTTGACTATACTTTTAGTCTTTTTTTTTTGTTATACCAGATCTCCAACGTTCGTATTATGTTTAGGATTTACAAATATTGGCCTCGAGCATCATCGAAAAGACATTATTTGTCGAAATGCGCATCTGGTGTAAATAAAATAACAATTCATAGTGGCCATCTGCATCTGCATGTTTCTTCATTTTTGTTTCAATCAATATCTTTTCAGACATAGATTTTCGAATTGGACTTCCAAAGAATATGTCTTACAGGGGAGCACGGTTTGAGCCTTATGGACTAAATGCGTTTTTACGAAATGCCCTTAAAACACCGTCAATGTGGATGTTTGTAATTGGATTGCTTCTTAATCCAGACAATCTACTGAGTAAGGCATCAGATGCAGTTACTGATCAGGTAAGTAATTTTCAGAACTATCACTACATATATATGAAAACATAAATCCAGCTGGTTTAATAAAATATAATCAGACTGATTAACATTTCCATAACATACTTTTTTTTGGTTCAATAGACATGCATTTAGTATATTTACTTTGACCACCAATTTCTTCTTTAAATTAACAGTCATTTCGTTATCGCGTGAATTTAGTTTTTAATTTACAATCAATGTAAGTTATTTTTTTTATTTTCAAAAACAATTTAATTTTACTTCTTTTAGTCATGTGATTTTATTTTTGAATAATAATAATTTTTATCTACATAATTTTGTTTACCTGAATTTATTATTTGAGTGTATTAATGTAAATAATAAGTTTTAATTTTTCACAAACAAATTAAGTAAATGATATGTTAATATGTTTATTACGTTTTGTATAATGTACAATCAATATGTGACACAAGAATTAAATAAAATTAAATTTCAACTTTAACCAAGGTAATCTTTTTAATTTTGTAATTCTATTACGTCATGTCACTTCTGCAATTAAAAGAGAAGCGAAAGATACCAAAGAGACATTTAAACTGATGAGTCAAAACTAAACTGACAACGCAATGGCTAAAAAAGAAAAAGACAAACAGACAAACAACAGTACACAAAACACAACCTAGAAAACTAAAGACTGTGCAACACGAACCCCACCAAAAACACTGGGGCTGATTTCATGTGCTCTGGCCGATCCTGCTCCACATGTGGCACCCGTTGTGTTGCTCTTGTTAGTACAAACCAGGTGATAAGTCTAATTCGGTTGGTCACATTCGAGGAAAAGGGGACGGAATTGTAGTTACGAGAATTGGAACATATCCGTTGTCATCTGTGAAACAGATATTTCACCACGGTCAACCAACTCGTGATGGCGTGCGTAAAATTTATGAAGGGATGATTTCCACTTTATCACTCGGAACTTTTGGTTTAATAGCTTTCTTGTGAGCAGCAACCCTTGATCAAAACAATCATGATAGGAAATACAAGCCATGGAATATCGTATAAACTGGGAGATATATACTCCGTATGCAGGCTCTGCTGAAATTTTGCTACATAGAAATGGAAAGATTACAATTGGGAAGCTGAAATCATCTCTTTTGTCGTAAAGTTTTGTTTTCAACCGACCCTCATTGTCAATTTCTAGATGTAAGTCAAGATATGAGGCAGACCTAACTGTATCTGTTGTATCCTTTATCTCAAATTCGATGGGATAGATGCGTTCAAATGAGGTTTTAACGCACACTCAAACTATTCGAATATTTTTATTATAAAAGGATGCAAAAGTTTTCCCATTTATCCAACCAGACATTCTCATAAAATCAGAAAATGATACATTGTACAGTTGGGATTTTGACGTGGCTGCCGATCTCACAAAGTGAGCAGTAAATTGTCGAGTATTGATATGTGTTTACACTCAAATTTTCTGTGCGTTTTAAGTATTCTTTCAAAACATATTTACACAAAGCCTCCAATCCAGAGTTGAACGTTCTCAATTTTACAACTTGATTCTTATATCCTGGTCTAGACTTAAATAAATCATCTATGTTAAAAACAAATTCCTCCCTCAATTTTAACATGATCTCAACACTTCAAAATTTAAGAGTAGCATTTGTATCTACATTACAAGCTTAAAATAATTCCAAACAATCGATACATCCAAAACAGAAAGTTCTTAGTTTTTTATTATTTAATTTTTTATTTTTATTATATACTCCTTTTATAAATCTGACTACCACTGCTTCTGCGTGGAAATTAACTATACCCAAACCAAGTACAGAAAGAGCAGATATGGCTGTATATACGGAACTGAACCAAGACAATTTTCAAATAAATCCGTATAAAAATCTATCACTTTGTTCGAACTTCATTTTCCCTTCACGGCAATATGAAAACCACTTTTTGACAAATACTTCGTACTGCTTTTTAGTGTTTTTTCCAAGAGCATGCAATGATTTGGGCAGTCTGTTGAATATTCTTTGTCAATAAACTGTTTCTTGATACATGACATATCATTAAGTTTAATGTCCCAAGAAAATTACTGTTGTCTTGTCTTTCAAGATGTCTGTAAACAGAATTTGGAATATCCTATCATCATTAAGTCAAGTAAAATCCTACACTTGATAGAGGCAATTCCAAATATTCTATTAATCTAGCTTCCAATTGGTTAAATATAGATATGAATAAACCTAATAAGGTTCGATGGCAAATTTGACCATCCTGAGACAACAGCTAGGATTTTACTTCATAAAAATCCACCAGACTAACACATGTCACAGAGGCTCACTTTTCAAATAGACACTTCTAAGAGATTTATGAAATGTTGGCCAATCAGTACGTTGTAACGCTCTTGAATGTTTTATTAACAAATCAAGAGAAATGATGTCCAACGTGACCATTCTTGCCTATTTTTCTTATTGTCGAAACTATTCCACAAGAAAAGGCTACTAATGAGCAGCAAACGTTAGAAAAGAAGACTGACGCAAAGTAATTAAAAATCTCACGCGATGTTTAAAAAGAAATAATTTTTAAAGGGGAATAAAAAAAAAGTCAAACGATAACCCAACAAGTGAAAGATATGGACAATTAGAAGGCGACTATGGTAAGGTAATTGGAGGTTGTCAAATTAAGTTTGATTAATGATTGTTTGGTCATTGGGCAATCACTTAATCAAAAAGACTTAACAATAACGTAAAGTATGATGAACACAACAATACATAATTTGTTCAGCATCGTAGAGATCGGAATAGATGAATATGCTTTAGAAGTGGAATGAATTTCGTGATTATCAATAACATTCTTTCCACGATCAAAAATATATATTTAATCGAGTATAAAATATATCAAAATCGTTCTCGAGTTGTGACGCCTTATACAAGATAGTAGATCGCTCAAAAGAAAGAGTGAAGGAAACTCAGAAAACAGAATACCGAGTCATTGTCGAACTTGTATTTAACGAACCTAAATATTATAAAGTTATGGGAACACTTTTAATGTAAGTAAAGGCAACAGTAGTATACCGCTGTTCAATAGTCATAAATCGATTTAACTGAAACAAATCCGGGTCACAAAACAAAACCGGGGGAATCACATCAACTATAAGAGGAAAACAAAGGAATAACATAAACACTGAACTGCTACAAAAACAAACGCCAACATACATAGAAATGAACTATTTGAAAACAACTGCCATATTCCTGACTTGGTACAGGTCATTTTAAGAAAAAATGGTGGGTTGAACCTGGTTTTATGGCTAGCCAAACCTCCCGCTTATATAGCAATGTTAAAAATACCACTAAAATGACAACATTACGTGACAGGAATACATTACAACTAAACACAAGAACACTCAGGACAGAGACATACATAAAAAATAATATAATAGTACATTACAATATGTAAATCACAAAAAGTGACGTCACAGGTAAATTTCTAAAAATAGAATATAAAATTGGGATTAAGTTTGTAATGGTGTTATTTTAGGTATTTTGTAACCATTACAAGAATATTGATATAGAATTGTGTTAGTAATGGTGTAATTATTTGTATTTTCTAACCATGTCGGTTTTTCTTCTAAATCGAAACTGTAAAAACAAATAAATCCTGCGCATATAGTAGCTTTAAACTAAAAATCATATAAATGAACTAGCTGATTAATTATCTTAACTTTTACATACATGTAGAAAATAAAAATAGAATTCAAACCACAAACGATAAGACATAACACAATATCCAAACAAAACTTACAGCCATTTGAGATTTGTTGTACTATTAGTTATTATATTGAATAATAAAAGAATATAATTTTTTTATCATTTTCAGATCGTCCACGCATTGCCTTTATATTTTTCTAGCCTTATTCTTATTCGTACTCGGGCGTTAGGTCGGAGTCAAATTCTTGTTATAAATCTCTAATACGCATGACGTAGATTTGACACTATTCTTATTCGTACTCGGGCGTTAGGTCGGAGTCAAATTCTTGTTATAAATCTCCAATACGCATGACGTAGGTTTGACACTTGTCATGTAACAGTTTTGTTTTATTAAATTTTATTGCCATTTCAAAAGTATCCGTTTTAAAAGGATATTACTTAAAAAGGGAAAGAGGAGTTTATGTAAGACATGTTAAATGTTAATCACTTCTAAGATTTTACCAGTATCTTAACAGGAACAAATTATTATACAAAATCTTTTAAGTCTCTGGACTGTTCCACGGACAATGTCGTTTACTGAATTGAATGTACTCTGCTTGGCTACTTTATGTTGGTGAAACTCGACAAACTTTGCGTAAAAAGATAAATCAACACCGGTCTAATAATAAAGCTCCGCAATTCAGGGTTCTTTATAACTATTTTAATCAACCCGACCATGATCCTTCTTTATCTATGAAAGTACGCATGATCGAGAAATATTTATCACCACACAAATATAGCCTACTCCTTTCCGAAAAGATAGAGAAAATATCTGGATAAGTTAACTAGGTACTGCAATGCCATATTGGTGCACTGATAATATCAAAGGAGTAGGAAATTTGTCAAGTCCAGACTGCAGCAATGTAAATGTGATTAACTTATCTAATACTAACTTAAGCTTCAAATAATATTGTTTTTGCATGTAAATCGTACTATTACGAGTGTTTTGTAAAAGAATTAGGAATAAATTAGCACTCAGCTAATCCCACATACAAAGACATATCATTTGACGAGGATGAGATTTTGGCGAACCAGAAGTCCTTCATGGCTTCAATGAAAATAACATCGAACAGCAAATCTGAGGACTTACCTTGTTTGTATTGGATATCTAAGCTTCAAAAAATTCCGTATAAACAACGGTACATTACCGGCTCATCTGCATGTTATCCAGAAAAGCGCCTCGGACGCATGAAATTTATAACGTGTTAATTGTTTTCATTTTCTACAAAGAAAGAAGGTCTTCAGAAATACTGTGAAACTGTTTACTCTGTGAGGTGGTATTAACCATATGTGGATTCTAAAAAAAACCTAAAGAACTTCTGGGTAATTTTAAATCTCGATCTTTCTCTGAAATTAATTCTATCAAAACCATTGATTTTTCAACCCTTTATACCACCATTCCCCGTGTGAAATTGAAAAATCGTCTAAAAGAAATATTCCACAAGGCTTTTCAATATAAGAAAATTGGTAGCATACGCTATGAATGTGTTGCTTTGGGATACCATACGGCATATTTTGTTAATAGTGAACAAAAAGGATTAAACATGATATACCGAGGAACAAGTGATGAGTATGCTGGATTTTCTTATTGACAACATATCTGTTGAATTTGGAGGTACTTTTTCAACAAATTGTCGGCACTCTATGGGAACGAACTGTGCGCCTCTCTTTGCCGACCTCTTCTTATTTTCATATGAGTCGGAGTTCCTTCAGACACTTGTCAAAAACAAGGAGACCAAAGAAGCCAGATCATTTAATTTCACATTCAGATATATTGATAATATTCTTTTCATTAACAATCGAAACTTTTCTGATTGGTTTCCATTAATATATCCTCCAGAACTAGAAATTAAAGAAACAATAGACACGGCTTCCTCCGCCTCATTTTTAGACTCGTACATCAAATTTGACATGAGCAGTCATCTCAGTACCACAATCTATGACAAACGAAACGATTTTAATTTTGAAATTTTAAATTTCCCCACCTTGGCAACAATATACTAGCTTCACCTGCACATGGGATATACATTTCCCAAAGAATTCGGTATTCAAGAGCTTGCAGCTGCTACTCAGACTTTATAAAACGTCAACAGTGTCTAAGTAGAAGATTGATGAACCAGGGTTATGTCGAAAAACGTCTCGTCCTTTTTCTAAAAAAAAGTGCATCGGAAGATTCCAAGTCCTTGTTCATAAATATTCCGTATCAACTTCACAAATAATACATGATGGTCTTGAAGTATTTGTCTTTGTATATTTTTAACCTTACTGTTTAGTCCATTTTTGGTAATATCATTTTAGCGTGGCTCGGTATTTATATGTCCCGCTATTGTGTTAATGTACTATGGTCATTTTTGTATCCTTGTCTTTCATTTTTGATTATGTGCTTTTTCTGTAGAGTTTCTATGTGTCATTTTGTTTTTCTTTGTTGACATAAGTGTTTGTTTATATTGGTTTTCCCGTTTGAATGGTTTTACACTAGTAATTTTTGGGGCCCTTTATAGCTTTCTGTTCGGTGTGAGCCAATGCTCCGTGTTGAAGGCCGTACCTTTACCTATAATGGTTTACTTTTATAAATTCTTACTTGGATGGAGAGTTGTCTCATTGGCACTCATACCAGATCTTCCTATATCTATTATAACACAATGATGACTGTTGTGCCCCAATTTTTGACATTTGTACCTATTATTTCTGTTTGTTTTGCTCGCACATTGTTGTCAACATGATGGAATTCTATGCGACTGTCATACAGGTGAGAGGTTTTACTAGCTATAAAACCAGGTTTAATCCACCATTTTCTTCATAAGGAAATGCCTGTACCAAGTCAGCTTTTGATTTTGATAAAGGACTTTCCTTTTGAATTTTCCATGGAGTTCGGTATTTATGTTATTTTACTTTATACTCTACATGTTCATGTTACTTTTAAACATTTGGTATCATACGATATTCTCCATTCTTTTAGGTCTATCAAAAATTGGTGAATTCTATTTTCCTTCAATCGATTCTACCTGATTCATTACTTTAATATCAAGTAAATTTTTCGATATCTGCATCAATATTTATACATGTAGTATTATTATTATTTGCTACTATATTTCTAATATTTGTAGCCTGCATGAGATGTTCCGTCATGGCCTATACCTCTACCACGGCTTTTGCCTCTACCGCTGATCCTAAAATACCAAGGTCTACGACCGCCACTGAAACCACTTCTCAAGCCGGCCCTTCCTCTTATTTTATTTGATATCCTGCTTGATTTGCCAATACATTAATATTTTTAACCACATCACCGCCAACAACTTTTTATCATTTGGAACATTGGCATTCGCAAGTGACCAAATTCACCATATATGTTTCATAAGAGTTATCCTCATCAAAAATACAAATATATGAGCATGATTTATCACAGGGAGTGAATTCGTGTTAACTATGCTCATTGCACTCCACTTTCTTTAACATTAGATCTAGTTTATTTATACTTTAGTAAAGTGTTATATATCTTAATTAATACCTTACTAGTAATTACTAAAATGTATTCTACATAGTTTTAGATTTACACCTATGCGTAGGAACTATTTTGTTGTAAATATGTACTACTTTCCAGTATGTTCTTTTTTGACCGGGCCCGATTAGTCGGTGTTGCATCTAACAAAGACTATCCAAATTATTTTTGCAAAGAATTCCGCTCAAGCCGGTGCTAGGGGCCGTCTTTAATTTGCAGTGCTCCGTGTTGAAGGCCTCACTGTGACTCTAAGATGAAGAACAGCAATAAAAGAGCTGTTCCTTTGCTTTTTGTGTGTTTTTTTGCTGTGCATGTATTGATTTTGTGTCGTGGATGGATACCCCTTTGTTTTTCTATTAAATTGTTTTGTGTTATGCCTTGGATTAAGGCGACAGTAGTTTATCGATGTTCAAATCTCGTAAATCGATTAAGAAGATGCAAATCAAGGTGGCAAACAAAACCTGAGGGAATCGCATATACTCCCAAAGGAACACACGTGAAACATGTACGTCAACAGAATAAGCGTGTCTACTATGCATGCATCACCCGAACATATGCCAAGTAACCTGATCAGTTTGAACAGTTACAAAACCGCCAAATTTCTCTGATCTGTAATTTCATCACCCTGCATGAAATCTGAAAAACTATTTTGGCAAATCATATTTCTAAAAATGTCAGTTTTTAGCCAACTCTTCATTAATTGTGGAGACACCTTTATCACCAGACCTATTTTTGGCACATGCTAGCAAATTTTGTCTCTTTAATGGATTCTGGTTTTTGTTTTTAACAAGGGATTTTTTTTACTTTCTGCTTGAACCTCGTTTGCTTAAGAATATCACTAACACTAGACTTTGTTTAAGAAGACGATGGCGTTCTCATGGAAGAGACCTTACCCAACTCAACAGGCTTGGACACGGCTTTGGGTCTTTTTGATCTAGTTTTATACTCTTTTAGCATTCCTATTGGACATTTTCTCAGACTTTTAATCTCCACGGGTCTGGATAATGGTGTCCTCCATTGTTAACTTTATATTTATATTATATCCAAATAAGAATGAAAAAAATTACTGAATAAATATGAACACTATCAAATCTTCAATAAAATTTTGATAAGACTTCCTCGAAGTCGTTTAATAAAGTCATTGGTAGTCGAGGTTATTGACCCACTTCAGTCACCCACGAAAGTCGGCAGCATACTGGAATTGCGGTTGCGCAGTGTTTTTCACCTGATTGCGGAAGTGATGTGACGTAATAAATTAGTATAGTTATGATTATCCTTATCACGAGTTATAAATAACAATTTATATATGATAAACTATTGACACAAATCAATTAAATTCCTATATTTCATGGAATTAAGATGTTATTATGATCATTTTAACCAATATTCAGAAATTTAGTCAGACCTACAGGTTTTGTTTAAAATCTCATGGCGCTGACAATAAGTTGACCGGTTATGGCTAAATATATCACAGAAGACATACAATGATAAACGAGTATGTTGTATAATAGAAATTTGAAAATCGACTTAAAAATCGGCCACAAGTGACCACGATTTAAATGGGGTAATAAGTTTGATGAAGACAAATGCGTACTGATATATCAGATAAAAAAACTCAACCAGAAACTGGTTTCAATTTGTATGATTTCGATAAAAATGACTCACGTTACGGGATTAGAAGTTAGGAAGCAAAACCTCCGACTCCGTTTTGCTTTCAAAGTTGAACCCTCAGTTTTTAAAACATTTTTTTATATATATCAAACAATTCCGAATTACTTTTCAGATAACGACTGATCCCTACATGAGAGAAATCGCTATTTCATCTGTAAGTGGACATGGAACTGCTCGAGGTATGGCAAAACTGTATGGAATTTTAGCTAATGGAGGAAAACTTGGGGATAAACAGTTTTTGTCAGAAGAAACATTAAAAGCATTAACAACTCCGAAAGTAGCAGGTGAAAGTTTGAACTATGGAAGAAAAATACAAATGGGAAGAGGACTGTTCTACTCAAAAAATCCAAAGGTTGGTGGTATATGTGTAACTCATGAATGACAGTTGCGCCATTCATAGTTGATTAATAATTATTGTTTTGATGTACCACTGCACTCAATGAAACATCGGGATAAAAAGTTTGTTGTTCGTCGTGCGTTTTACACACTGACCTCAGAACTTATTAAAGAGATTTATCAAAATTGAAACTTTGCAGTATTTAAGCAAAGCCATTAGCACATATTAATACCTTATCGTTAATCGCATTACTTATCAACATTTATCCTGTCATTAACCATTTTATATTACAAATAACGTCCCTGTACCCAAATTGCACCGAGTACCCAAATTGCAAAAGCAGCGGAAATCTTACAAGTTTTCTTAGAGACTAAAAAATTTGTATTTTTAAAATTTGCCATTATGTACGTCTTCCAACATTGCTAAACATATTTAAATATGCACAAATCGGTCACATAATATGTATCAACAGATAAAGTATCCCGGGAAAAAAATAAAATTTACGAAAATGTCTTATGCGACATCCAAAAAGAGTCGGCTTTTCAAAATGAGCAATTAAAATGTGTAAAGTATACGTATTTATTAAATACTTAGTAGAAAGTTCAAGTAAATTTTATGTGTAATACAACCAAATTGAATTGTGCAATATCAGCCATCCGTGATGACATCGGTATCAGTCACGGTTTCAAGGCTTTGTCAAACCCCTTATATGTATGACGTTATGTAATCAATATCATTTACAGTTGCAAGGGCTTTATCAAACCCCGAATCTGTACGACATCATGCAATCGATCTTATTCACGGTTGCAAATGCTTTATCAAACCCCTATTATGTATTACGTCATGGCATGTGAAAAACGTCTATTTGAAGTTACGGTATAATATGGATTTTTCTCCCACACAAATAAACCCTCGACATGCCAAATGTAAAACATTTTAAACGAGAAAACTACCGGCCTGATTTATGTTTTAAAAAACCGAAAAACAAATAGTTTGTCTTTCTAGTAATAGAGGTTTAATAATAGTATTATTAAATTGATGTGATTTTTTTTTTCGATTTCACGTTCTGTGAAACATATACATGTAGTCAAGTCGGATAATTCGATTCATCCGACAAAACCTTGCATTTCTATGGCATAACGTCATAAAGCACGACTTATTATAGATTTCCAATAAAATGACATACGTACCTAACTCGACGTACGCACGTAACGGGACCGTTTATTGCTAACATATAAATTTTGTTAAATACGTCATTCAAGTTTTAACTAAGTATTCCTAAACTATAAAACCCATTCAGGATCAATTTTATCAATATCAAGTATTTCTAAGATGATGAAAAACGAAAGAAATCATGATTTTTATATATCACGTGATTATTGAGATTCCCGCCAAAACTTCACTGTCATAAGACCACGTATATACACGTATCTTTACCTATCATACGATTGATTTGAGTTGTGTTTCATGGTTTTGACCATGACTTTGTTTTTCGATATACTTTGCAAATGAACCTTTTATTATTTAATATTTGACATGCTTTTATTTGTCGGTATCAGATTGGTGTCCCTTTTTCCTTTCGTCTCTTAATGTTTTATAATATTTAATTTCCTTGGGTATTTATTATATGACAGAGATTTTTCTAGCAATTTCAGAAATATCGAATTCAAAGTGTTAGTCAGAATTTGTCTCTGTTAAAGTTGATAACTTGGATTGCATCATACTTTATTAAGCATTATTTGACCCCAGGAGTGTAAAAAATAAATCGAAAAAAGAATGCATGCTCAGCATACAAATGCCTTTGAAGAGAAAATTGAAAATATTTGTTGAACGGACAGACTGGCGGACGGACAGACAGGGTGATTGTAATATGAGTGCGGGTACAATATTTTGTCAGTGTATGTATCTTAGATGCTAGTGGTAAGGAAGTCTGGATCAAAACGGGGAAATCTTTACTTGTTAAAAAGTATTTTTTACTATTTAGAATAATAATTGCATGCCTTCTGGATAATAGTACAATAGCAAGTCACAAGGATAATGGAAGCTGTGAAACACCATTTTACAATAAAAACTAAGCTTTTTGATACAAAGAAACAAGGAGAAAAATCAAACAAATTATGCAACAAAAAGTGATATCAAAACAAAACATATGATGCTAGAATAATAATATATGCAGTTAAAGCATAAAATATATAAACATGTTTTTATTAAATATGGAATTGACTGGTAGCAGGCCAGCCTCGATTTTGGGTTCAATTATTTTGTTGGACAATTCGATCCAGCGAATCACTATCATTTCATCATCCTTAATATATATGTAATATTTGTCGCTGGATATAAGACATACATTAGTATCATCATCTTCATAAGTATTATAGCCTGAAGCTAAATCTTCGTCGTATTTATCATAGCTTGTAAGTTTTATAGCTTGATGCTAAATTCTTATCTGATATTTTTGCCAATTTATGTCGAGAACTTATTTTATGCATGCATCTCTTTGCTACATGCTATAAATGTCCAAGTTAAAGCCAATAGAGATCATAGAAGTATGTTTATCAAATGATCATGTCTACTCATAATTAAAACAGTAAGAAAGGGATTGACTCGTCCGACTTAAACGAAGCACAAAAACAGCAACTACTAGCATTTCAAAATAAACTCCATGAACCGATCTTAGAGTATTCACAGCTACTGAACACTATCTTAAAAACAATTACAACTAATAAATACAGAATAATTATCCAGTCTAGAATATTAATCAATTATTTCGTACTCTTACACCACTGTCCCAGGTAAGTCACTAAGTGGGCCCGTTAACATGTTTAACTCCGCCACATTATGTATGGCGGTGACTGTCCCAAGTAAGGAGCATGTAATTCAGTGGTTATCATTTGTTGCTGTGCTTTCGTTCATTTTTTTGTACATTAATTAGGCCGTTAGTTTTATCGTTTTTGTTGTTTTAAATTTGTCATTTTGTGGCCTCATATAGCTGACTATTCGGTATGGGCTTTGCTCATTGTTGAAGGTCGTACGGTGGCCTATAGTTGTTAATTTCTGTGTCATTTGGTCTCTTGTGAAGAGTTGTCTTATTGGTAATCATACTACATCTTTTTTGTACATATCACAAATTAAGTACATAAACACTCCAGAAAAGCAAGACCTTGTGTCATGTCAAAAGCACAGAGTGTCTGTAGGACCATTAGTGTTCATAACTGTATAGCAGATTATATGTAGTTTCTATAAAATGTAATGATAATTTATCAGTAAAATATACATGATTATTTGTTAGTGGGATTATATATAACTAAATAAATGAATATTTATATTAAAAGAAACATCAGAAACAAGAATATGTGTCCATTGGATTACACGCCAGTATCACATTTCCGTGTTAAGTGAGCTCTAAATCCAGGAAAAAATCCAATTCAGTATGTAGTCTTAAACTTTTAAACCTCGTGCGAGATGTCTAATGTTCAAACATTGTTGTTTTTAAAACGTATTTATCAAAGTCAAACGACAATCATTAAATTTTTTTTTGGTGCTATACAATTTGTGATTATGGCCGGATCCAAGATATTTGAAAGAGGGCGTAGTTCCCGATAATTGAATTTATACTGCCGAGCGAAGCAATGCGAAAAAATATTGGACGATTTTATACTAAACATTTGTATAGATAACGTGGAAAATGTGAGATGTTCAAAATTACTTGGCGATCGAAAGGGGGAGTACGCCCTCTACCCCTGTATCTGCGAATGCACGTTTAGGCATACATGATCAAAACCTCGTCCCATGCATTATTATAGTTAAAGACTAAAAAGTACTTTTTGATAAATGTATCAATGATATGAACTTCTGCCCACGTCAAATTATCTTGAAATAAATTATAGATTTTTTTTTTTAAGTTAGTCGCGTACACCTTTTACATTCGGATGTGTTGGAATCCACTTTTTAAACGTTAAAACTTATAAAAACAAAAAAAGAGATAACCTTCTCGCTTCTGATTTCATTATTTTAATATTTTCATGCTAAATGTTTACTTGGTAGTTTTTGAAATTCATATGTTGAGAAGAACTGAAATATGGGTCAAGTGAAATAACAAGAAATGATGGCTGTATTTGATTACAAGTTGCTAGCTTACTTATTCCATTAAAATATTTTTGTCAATAAAATCATTAAAAATTTAATAACAAAATATTTAAAGATTAAAAAAAGTAGTTGGGGTTGATTTTTACATTAAGTCTACATCAGCAAAAAATGCGTGTTCAAAGAGCAAAAAATGCATTTCTCGTTTCTCGTTTTTTATATAGATTAGACCGTTGGTTTTCCCGTTTGAATGGTTTTACACTAGTAATTTTTTTGGGGCCCTTTATAGCTTGCTGTTCGGTGTGAGCCAAGGCTCCGTGTTGAAGACCGTACTGTGACCTATAATGGTTTACTTTTATAAATTTTTACTTGGATGGAGAGTTGTCTCATTGGCACTCATTCCACATCTTCTTATATCTATATGCAGTGTATGCTCCCCTCCGTCATGCTTCGATGCAATAGGACGATATACGTTGAGTTAGGTCGGTTATGTCGAGTAAAGTCATTTTATTGGAAATCTCTATTGGACTGCTTCATACATGTTTATAACACAACAATAACAATTTCTATGTTTGTCATCATCGCAAATACATAGTTCCTGAATGTTAGTCAGACGCTGCAAACCCTTAATTGTATATCCACTGGAAGGATAAAAAATATTTCTCATTGATGTATACATCTTCCTTTATACAAACCTTCATATGTACTTGAAACTGTTTTATTTCAGAATGAAGATGTATATGGACATCCCGGGTATGGCGGACAGATGGCGTATGGCGATACAATAAATAACATAGGCATGGCCTATCTTACAAATGATCTATCTGCATTTGGTTACGGAAACGATCCTAAGTTCTTAGCATTGCAGAAGGAATTTTATAACTGTTTAAATAATATTGAAAAATCGAAATCTTCCTTAGGTAAACAGTTTGACACATTATCAGTATCTTAGTACGTAACTATAACGTAGTTATAATATATGTGTAAATATGCGTAAAATACATCGGGAGCTACAAAGAAGTGAATTGAACGACGCTTGTTCTTAAACGATTTTATTTCTTTTTTATTTGAATTAGAATTTAAGATCTGTTATCCCACCTTTTTCATGAACAGTAAAAAGAGGTAAGGCGAGCAACTGTGTAATGTTATTCCTTATGATAACCATTCTTTTTTATTTTTGATGTATTAATATTTAAAACTTTATATTCAGTTCATATCAGTAGAACAATAAAAGTTTTCAAACCTTAGGAAATTACACAATTTCTTTTGAAAATTGGCTTTAAATTCTGTTGAAGTTGGACAAAAAAAAACTGAAAAAAAATATGTTTCAAACAACCTTTCCCTACGTGCCGTCCGAATTTCGTTCTCCTTTCGTTTTATGGTATGATTTGGCGAATAATGTGAAAAAGGAACCGAACTTTATGATGTAAAAACGAAACATACTTTGCTTAATACACTCTTAGAACACGAATGTCGCGACACAACAGTTACTAGCACCAAACATTGAACAGGGAACAAATAACAAATATATACGAGGAAAAGAGAACTTTGAACAACCAAAAAAGTAAAGGAAATCGACCGGTTTCTGAAATAAATTCCAGGCCTAAAAAGACCGCATGCTTTATATTAATGAATCTTTAAATGTCCATTGTCCATATGCTTCCGTACTTAAACTTTTGTATTCTCATCTACTCTCTGTAACCACTTAATAAACAGAACAAAAAGATTGTGAAATATTTTTTGTCGCCATAATCTAATTTATTAGACAAAATGAAAAATGATAGATAAAACTAGACTTGCCATTGCAAGCAATAGCGGATGTCACCCGCCCTTATTGCCATGGTTACGGCAGCCATTTTGAAAATTCCAAAGTCGAATGCCAAATAAATATATGCCAGTTAACATTTCTGTAAAGTCTTTCGAATCCCCCCCTCTTTCCCCTTCCATCTCCCTTCCATTTAACGTTATTATATTTAGAACTTTAGTACTAGAACTGGCAAACAACCAATATTTTATGTAAGGAAAAGCAAGGTGTACACAAATATACTTTATATAGAAAGTTTGTTTGTGTCTCCAACAGAATATACAAATATTTTCGTTGTTACAGCAATACTACAATATGAACGAACGTCTGTTTTCTTAACATTAACTTGCTTTTAACTTCTATTAGAATAATTAAAATGAATTTAAACTTTCTGATAATCCTCAATGAAGACAAATAATTGATAGTGTTGTCATTGTGGTTTATATTTGTTAAGAATTAACTTACCACAGCCGCTTAAAAACTAATGTTTTTCAAATCAATAAATAATAAATAATTTAAGAGTGAAATTAAAAAAAGCACCAAAGACAATAAATGTTATGAGATGTTTTTTTTCAAAAATACTACATGGCTTTTTAAGGAAGGCATGTCGGGAGTGAGGCTTTTCTTCTGCCCACCCCTCCTTATACTTAATCAGAACTGATATTACAAATTAAACGACTGTTAATCTTTTTTATTGGTTAAACTTCGGTACTGGCATGAAAATATCGATATTTTGTTAATAAAATTAGCAGTGACTTAAGATATCTTTTTTTTTTAAATTAAGGAATTTATCTTCCTCGTGCATATTTTTGGAGTTTGGCTATGCTTTTGGTACATAATGCATATGGATATATATCAACTCTCCAATGATAGTATTAGGTTTTGGATTAGTGAATGTTTTGGCCTTGAGCATCACAGAAGAGACATTATTTGAAGAAATACGCATCTGGTGCAGTAACATTGGTACTGTTTAATGTTATTCGTTCTCTCACTAAATAAATCAAAATTTGGTGACTATGTTGAACGCATCTATCCCTTCGAACTTGAGATAAAGGATTCAACAGATACAGTTAAGTCTGCCTCATATCTTGGCTTACATCTAGAAATTGACAATGATGGTAGGTTGAAAACAAAACTTTACGACAAAAGAGTTGATTTCAGCTTCCCAATTGTGAACTTTCCTTTTCTGTGTATCAACATTCTAGAAGCGCCTGTATACGGAGTATATATCTCCCAGTTGATACGATATTCCAGGGAATGTATTTCCTATCATGATTTCCTTGATGGAGGGTTGCTGCTCACAAGGAAGCTACTAAACCAAGAGTTCCAAGTGTTGAAGTTCAAATCATCTCTTCGTTAATTTTACGGACACCATCAAGAGTTGGTTGGCCGTTATGGAATATCTGTTTCACTTATGACGACGGATATGTTCCAATTATCGTAGCTACAATCCCGAAAGTGACCCACCGAATTATACGTATCACCTGGTTTGTACATATATTAGCAACACGACGGGTGCCACATGTGGAGCAGGATCTGCTTACCCTTCCGGAGCACATGATATCACCCCCAGTTTTTGGTAGGGTTCATGTTGCTTGATAAAGTCATTAGTTTTCTTTGCTGTGTTTTTTGTACTGTTGTTTGTCTGTTTTTTCTTTTTCTTTTTTAGCCATGGCGTTGTCAGTTTATTTTCCACTTTTCTATTTTTCTATTTTGAATATTCCTTTTGTATCTTTCACATCTCGTTTTCTATTGGTATGTCGTTACTTTGACATAAGTTTATTGTACAATATCTGAGATGACATAAAAAACAAAAAAAATGTTTACATTCTGAGGTTATCCTGATATTTTTCTGGTGCCTACTTAGATGTTATTTCTAGGTTTGTTATTCTTCATTTTTTTATACCTTTGGTTTTCCTACATTTGGTTTCCATTACTACTGACTAGTGACAATTATTTGAAATGCTCATATAATGCATCAAATTAGCTTCAGTGTCTTGCATTTTTTGTAAAACCTTACTGAAAATATTAGATTCAATTAGTTTTAGCATTCAATTTTCGGATATGTCAAGACACCTTTATAATGTAGTAGATTAGCCTTTTTAAAATGTGAATAAAACTGTGAAATAAAGTTATATCCTTTCGTTCAATTCTGTCTGCATTTCAATTTTTTTTTTAACTACTAGTAAATGTAATCATTACAACTTGTTCTGATTGGACCTGATCATAGTCTACTAAGGAACTTCTTAGGAAGAAAGAAAAGAAGTTAGCAGTATCCTTTAAATTTACTCTCCGCTACAAAGATGATGTTCTCTCACTAAATAATTCAAAATTTGGTGACTATATTGAACATATCTATCCCATCGAACTTAAGATAAAGAATACAACAGATACAGTTAAGTCTGCCGCATATTTTGACTAACATCAAGAAATTAAACTAATAGCTTCCTTGTGAGCAGCAACCCTCTATCAAGGAAATCATGATAGGAAATACAAGTCCTGGAGTATCGTATCAGCTGGGAGATATATACTCCGTATGCATGCGCTGCCGGAATGTTGCTACATAAAAATGGAAAGTTCACAATTGGGAAGTTGATATCATCCCTTCGTAAGTTTTACGGACGCCATCACGGGTTGGTTGACTGTTACGGAATATCCGTTTCACAGATGATAACGGATATGTTCCTAATGTCGTGACTACAATCCCGTCCCCCTTCCCCGAATATGACCTACCGAATTAGTCTTATTACCGGGTTTGTACTAACATGAGCAATACGACGGGTGCCACATGTGGAGCAGGATCTGCTTACCCTTCCGGAGCACATGATATCACCCCCAGTTTTTGGTAGGGTTCATGTTGCTTGATAAAGTCATTAGTTTTCTTTGCTGTGTTTTTTGTACTGTTGTTTGTCTGTTTTTTCTTTTTCTTTTTTAGCCATGGCGTTGTCAGTTTATTTTCCACTTTTCTATTTTTCTATTTTGAATATTCCTTTTGTATCTTTCACATCTCGTTTTCTATTGGTATGTCGTTACTTTGACATAAGTTTATTGTACAATATCTGAGATGACATAAAAAACAAAAAAAATGTTTACATTCTGAGGTTATCCTGATATTTTTCTGGTGCCTACTTAGATGTTATTTCTAGGTTTGTTATTCTTCATTTTTTTATACCTTTGGTTTTCCTACATTTGGTTTCCATTACTACTGACTAGTGACAATTATTTGAAATGCTCATATAATGCATCAAATTAGCTTCAGTGTCTTGCATTTTTTGTAAAACCTTACTGAAAATATTAGATTCAATTAGTTTTAGCATTCAATTTTCGGATATGTCAAGACACCTTTATAATGTAGTAGATTAGCCTTTTTAAAATGTGAATAAAACTGTGAAATAAAGTTATATCCTTTCGTTCAATTCTGTCTGCATTTCAATTTTTTTTTTAACTACTAGTAAATGTAATCATTACAACTTGTTCTGATTGGACCTGATCATAGTCTACTAAGGAACTTCTTAGGAAGAAAGAAAAGAAGTTAGCAGTATCCTTTAAATTTACTCTCCGCTACAAAGATGATGTTCTCTCACTAAATAATTCAAAATTTGGTGACTATATTGAACATATCTATCCCATCGAACTTAAGATAAAGAATACAACAGATACAGTTAAGTCTGCCGCATATTTTGACTAACATCAAGAAATTAAACTAATAGCTTCCTTGTGAGCAGCAACCCTCTATCAAGGAAATCATGATAGGAAATACAAGTCCTGGAGTATCGTATCAGCTGGGAGATATATACTCCGTATGCATGCGCTGCCGGAATGTTGCTACATAAAAATGGAAAGTTCACAATTGGGAAGTTGATATCATCCCTTCGTAAGTTTTACGGACGCCATCACGGGTTGGTTGACTGTTACGGAATATCCGTTTCACAGATGATAACGGATATGTTCCTAATGTCGTGACTACAATCCCGTCCCCCTTCCCCGAATATGACCTACCGAATTAGTCTTATTACCGGGTTTGTACTAACATGAGCAATACGACGGGTGCCACATGTGGAGCAGGATCTGCTTACCCTTCCGGAGCACCTGAGATCACCCCCAGTTTTTGGTTGGGTTCGTGTTGCTCAGTCTTTAGTTTTCTTTGTTGTGTTTTGTGTACTATTGTTTGTCTGTTTGTCTTTTTCTTTTTTAGCCATGGCGTTGTCAGTTTATTTTCGACTTATGAGTTTTAATGTCCCTTTGGTATCTTTCGCCCCTCTTCTACTACAAAATGTTACTGAGACAGATGATAGTTTTCCTTCCATTGTAATATAAGTGCTGATCTAACATCGAAGATTGTAGCCACAATGAAACTATTTGAGCATCGGTCCTGTTCAGAATATCGTCTTGGAATCTGTCTTAAAAACTGATGAATTGTAAACATTGGAGGACAAGCGTTGCTAATGTTGATCTGATATTCCTGGAAGTCGATACAAGGAAGCATGATTAAACCCCGATTTCTGTGATGAATACATATAAAAGTCATCGAGGTTTTGAGATGTTTGGTGAATTGACTCATCATAAAATACCGTGAAATTTTGTACGCTAAACGCACGTTTCGTCTAAAAAAGACTCATCAGTGACGCTCGAATCAAAAAAATTTGAAAAAAGCCAAAAAAAAAGGACGAAGTTGAGGAGCATATAGAGGACACAAAATTCCTAAAAGTTTTGCCAAATACAGCTAATGTAATTTATTTATGGGGTAGAAAATCCTTAGTATTTCGAAAAATTCAAATATTTTTAACAGTTAATTCATAATTTTGACCACATCAATGATCATACATGTCAACGGAGAAGTGCTGACTACTGGGCTGGTGATACCCTCAGGAAGAAAACTCCACCAGCAGCAGTGGCATCAACCCAGTGGTTGTAAATAAACCCTTCATAGATACCAGGGTTTAAATTGTGTATGCCTGACGCGCGTTTCGTCTAAAAAGACTGATCAGTGACGCACGAATCGAAAAAGTTATAAAAGGCCAAACATAGAATACGAATTTGAAGAGCATTGAGGACACAAAACTAAAAGTTTTGCTAAATACAGCTAAGGTAATCTATATCTTGGGTAGTAAACCCTTAGTATTTCGAGAAATTCAATGTTTTGAAAATAGTTAATTTATAATTATATGATACTAATTTGAATTCCAAATACATAGTACATTATAAGATCCTTGAAATTTATGTACATATGTACATCCATCTGGATAACAAGTCATAAATTCTTTTTATTCTTTTTATTTCGATTTGAAAATAAAGTTGGCCGCCGAAATAGAATGAAACTGTCATTTGACTTCAGTCGAAACATATATAAACTGCTTTTTAGTCATTGTTTCACAATCAGGAGTCCATTGAAAGTGTTAAAATCTATTATAATTTGTGCAAAAATGTGTCGCTGATCATTCTGATCTGAAATTCAACATGTCTAGATACCATTATAAATAGCAAACTATACGGTTCTCTGACTGTTTATGAGTCTTTACACTAAATCCATTGGGTGTGTACTGATTGATACTTTAGTCTGTGAGGAAATTATTTATTTATTAGTTGTAATTGACTTGAAATTAGCTTTCAGTAACTGCGAGTACTCTTATTTCAATGCTTTGTGTGTATTGTTTTATGCGAGTTGTTTTTTGCCTCGTACTGATCTTTTGAGTCAAGCTAATTGCTACTGTTTTTTTACAGTTTGTTCTTATGTTGTCCTGTTACACCATTGTCCC